TCAGCTCCTAGTACTCATCTTTGCCTTACTGTTCCATTCATCACTGACTTGCTTACAGGCCATACACCTGGATGTGACTGTGGGCTCCCTGTAGACAGGGACTGGCTCCCCTTTATCTTGGTTTCTCCAAAGCTCCTTGCCTAGCACAGAGCAGGAATTCAAAAAAGATGGTCTGAATTGAAGGGCAGTGTTTTAGGCCCTTGCTAGCACAGGTGAATGATTCTCCTCTCTCAGGCCTAGTAAGCAATGAGATGGTAATTTCAGATTCAGAGAGGAATCAAATGATTATTCAATAATCCCCAAGACAATGCAAAACAAAAATCACAAGTATATACTCCTACTGGCTTCAGCCTTCTGCCTGAAATGATTCTTATTTTTGCAGAGATCTCAGAAATTTCAAATCCAAACTATTTCAGGGGATAGAGGGGCAGGCAGAGGATTTATCCACAACTCACAGCCAGGTGCTCAGATGTGACCAGGCTACAACTTCAAGAGGGCAGACCTGTCCCATTTTATCACCTCCCCTGGGACAGGGTAAATCCCAACCAGAAAGCCCTCATGTGCCTTCTTTATTTTGAGTGCTAACAGTAAACACCAACTTGGCATAATTTCTGGACACAGAATTTTCACTGGAATTTTACAAACAACATGTTCTGGCTCATGACATTTGTGTAACCCATTTTTTTCTCCAATGGGCACAATATAGGCCAAAATGTGGGTGACTGTGAGGTCATATATTACAGGCCTTGGGAAAGCAAGCAAGCAGTGGGAAGGACTGACTGCTAGTTCTGAGAAAATGTGGCCAGGGCAGGACCTGGGGTCCATTCAGTCAGCAGTTCCTCAGCCCTCCTGCCCCCCTCCCCTTCCCCGACCCACCTACCTCATTCTCACTGAGAACAGCCATACCAAGGCTGTTCAGAACCGCAGTTTCCAGGGGGCTAAACAGAGGGTCATACACGCAGCAGTGGCTCCTGGGAATCTGCAGGAGGGAGGAATGGTTGGTTTCAACCTACACGGGTGTGTAATGAAATCAACCAGGAGCTGGGTGATCTCAAACATCGGTGTCTAAGACCAAGGCAGAGGGTGACGACAAAGAATCCAGAAATTTACCTGGCACTTTTCCAGGAAGAGAAGCAAAAACGTCAGCTGGTTTCTAGCTACGACACAGGTGGCAAAGTTCCCAATGCCGTAACACACACACCTCAAATGACAGCTTCCCGGGACCAGGGTGTCTCTGGGGACGGAGCCAGGGGCCACAGCTGACTCATTTGGTGATAGGTCAAGGTGCAGGCTTCCAAGGGCTTCTGGAAGAGTCCCCACAGGGGCCTTCAGTTGTACCAGATGTTTCCTAAGACAGCTGTTGATAGTTTCTGAAAGAGCAAGCCCTGGACACAGTCAGAGGGCATGCTCCGACCCTGTGAACTATGTCATCCACCCAAGAAGTCCACAGACCCGTGGGAGAAGGAGCTGGGTAGCAGAGGCCTAAACAGCTCAGAACGGTTGCTGACCTTACTCCCACATGTGCGTGGGACAGGCTGCTGCGTCCAGGTCCTGGGCACCCACACCCTACAACCTGAGAGAACATTTCAAGCAAAAAGTTGGTTTTGTTTATGGGTGGTTTCCATCTAAAACTCCGATGTGAATGCATTCCAACTTAATAGGAGGCACCTGGTAAAAGCGGGTTATGTACTAAGTACCTACCTTTTTTATTTTAACAATCTAGGAGCAGAGTAGAACCTGGCATGCACACTGCACTGTGAAGCTAAATGTTATCAAATTCCTTTGATGGGTTGGATTCCTTTCTTTGCCCATATTCAGGCCCTCCTCCCACCCCTACCACCCCCAGCCTCGGCCAGGTGGTACCCACCTAGTGCTGAACTCCAGAAATCAGAGATAAGCAGGTCTTCCCTGTTGACAAAAAATGGCATGATCATTTCTCATCCTTTTAGGGCTGCCTAGCAGTGCCCCTCCTCCTGACCAGGAGCTGGAGGCAGAGAGTAGGACAGGGTGCCCTTGGACACGGCACCCACCCTTGAGTGACAGGAGGAGGATGCACAGTAAACACGTCCAGAGCCACACCAGTCCTGTTGGGCTCAGAGAGGGCAGGAGAGGGGGCTTGCTGGAGGAGGCCTCAACTCCCAACAACAGGTCTGGGTCTGTTTTGTATCCTTGGTCCACAGCAGGGCCTGGCACAGAGGTGCAGCTCCCTAAATAGTTCTTCAATGCACAGATTAAGCCTCTCTGAGCTTTAGTTTCCTCATCACTAAAATGAGGGAAGGAATCATACCTACCATGGAGGGTTACAGGAGGGATTAAATGGGTCAGCATTCAGCACAGTGCCTCACACACAGCAGGTACTCAATACATTATCGGTAATTCCAAAGTGAAAGTAAAAGAAGAGACAAAATCAGTGTTCTCAGCTTTCTTTATTTAAGACAATTGGCTTCCACAAACCCAGAGCAAAACACAGGTAGTGCATTATAATGAAATGAATTATCCAACCCAAGAACAGATTAAAAAACAAGACCCACCTATATGCTGCCTGTTAAGAGACTCACTTCAGATGTAAGGACAGACTAAAACTGAAGGGGTGGAAAAAGCTGCCCCATGCAAATGGAAACCAAAAGAAAGCTAGGATACCTGTAATAAATCAGACAAAATAGACTTTAAAACAAAGACGTACCCAAATGTATGGGTTGCAGCAAAAAAAAATGTATGGGTTCCCTAAGAGGGACATTCATTGTGATCTAGGCCTACCTTAAGAAACAAGAAGTCTCAAGCAACCTACCTTTGTGCCTCGAGGAACTGAATAGACCAATTAGTAGTAAACAGATGATCAGTAATTGAAAACCTCCCGACAACAAAATGTCCAGGAGTAGACAGAATTCACTGGTGAATTCTACCATGCAAAGAAGAATTAATACCAATCCTCCCAAACTCTTCCAAAAAAACAGCAAAGGAGAGAACTCTTCCAAACACTTTTTATGAGGCCAGCATCACCCTGAAACCAAAACCACAAGAAAACTGCAGACCAATATCCCTTTAAGGACACAGATGCAAAAATCCTCAACAAAAATATTAGCAAGCCAAGTTCAACAGTACATTAAAAAGATCATACACCACGATCAAGTGAGATTTATTCCAGGGATAAAAGGTTGGTTCAACATCAGCGAAGCAGTCAAACATGATATACCACATCAACAAAATGAAGGATAAAAATCATATAATCACCTCATTAGATGCAGAAAAAGCATTTGAGAAAATTCAACATCTATTCATGATAACAACTCTCAACAGAGCAGGCTTAGAGGGAATGTACCGCACTTGGGGGTGCAAATAGGAATAGGGGGTGCCTGGGGACGCTGAAGAAGCTGAGGAGGAATTACAGCGCCAAGGTCTATGGCAAGTACCTTAAGAGTTCTCTAAACCCCTAGACACATTCATTTTCACTGGCATTGTCCAAGGGCCTAAAAAAAAGTCACTGCTGCTTTTTTCTCAGACTCAGCACTGAGAAAAAAGCAGCAGTGGTCAGTCAACCTCTGAGTTGGTCAGTAGCTGGTCAGTCAACCTCTGAGTCACCACTGCCTCTTTACCCTAATTTTGGGGGAGGGAACACACAAAATTTGTTTGATTTCTGTTATTGGTCCTTCAGCAGTTGACCTGAGGAAGATCAACAAAGGTTGTTATTTATTAAGCCCTTCAAGGACCGCCAACAAATAAAGGCAATACTAAGTAGCTACAGATAAAGTGAAGGTGCCTCTGGTCAGGATTCTCACTGGAACCTAAACTACTTGATGTAACGGGCGGGCGGCTAGGCTCCTGCTTCCACACCCTAGGCAGTAAGTTATTAATGACTGAGTCACTGTATAAAGAGCTCTGCCCAGTGCTCTGGGCGGGTGGGGGGGGCGGAGGCAGAGACAATGGAGGATTACAGACCATAGACTGTTGGATGCAAACGTAATTCTAGTGCTTGACTAATCGCTGGGAGAACAAGCGGGGTGATAAACCCTTTCACCCCAAGAACGTTCCATTGTCATTCCTCAGTCTCACTGAATCCATAGTGAACTTGCCTGGGGCTGAAATCCACTGGCAAAACATAGCACAAGTAGGTAACATTTACTGAGGCACCGCTCTGTTATCTGCCGTACAGAGCAAGGCATGAAAATATAGGGATGGGATAAGGAAAAATGATGGAGAACTTTGAAGCACAGGTTTTGAAGTTGCAAAGACATGGGCCTAATGTTTATTGTCTATGTTTAAGACTTGGAGCCCTACCAGAATCCTAGCATGGCCGAGATGGTCAAACCGATAGTGTATAATACTTAAGCCAGTGCCAGGCACATAGCAGCTTAGCTAATGATGATAATCCTGAGGGTAACAATCACGTGGTTGTGCTGCTTCGCTGGTGTTTTCAGTACCAGTGATAACCAACATTGGCATATTGATACCAAACATGAGCTTACTACGCTCCGGGTACTTTCGGAAATGTCTACATTTAATTCACCGAATCCTCAAAACAAGTCTGTATAGGTATGATTCTCATACCCATCTCAGATGAGAAAACAGGCACAGAGATTGCACAACTTGCCCAAGGTATCGCAGCTGTAATTGCAATAGGAGGAATGTTTTATTTTACTATGTTTCAGTTTGTAATGAGCTCGTTACTGCCGTTACATCCTCACAATAACCTTTTTAAAGGTTTTGCAAGCTGTTCCCACTTTACGGATGGCGAGACTGAGGCTCGGAGAGGTTCCCACGGGCGTGAAGACTGGGACCCAGGCCCGACTCCACACTCACCCCGCCTCTCGGATGCGACGAAGCACGACTCCACGGTCCTCCTCGGAATCACGGTCCTCCTCGGGATCGCGGCCTGGGGCCGCCGCCGCCTCTCTCCGCCGCTGACGCTGCGCGGCAAGACGCTTTCTACGCGGGGCCGCAGCCTGCCAGGATTCCCACGCCTCCGCCGCCATCGGCCTCTGACGTCGGCGGCGCGCTGGGCTTGCGTCATCGTCCTGCGCCAGCTCTCCGGGCACTTTAGGGGCGGGAGGCGCGGCCGCGAGTAATCCTGCGACTTGGCCGCCGCGCGCGTAGGTACTGGGCGGGGGTCGCTAGCGCCCCGCAGCCGCCTGCCCTCGGGTCCCGAATCCCGACCCCTGACGCCGGGCTGCCGGGCTACTCCGGCGGGTGGGGGGCGCGGGGATGCCGAGGGGCGGGGCCCTGGTCGGGATACCTCTTGGCGGCTCCTCCGCGCCTGACTCGGCCCAGGTTGCCCTCCTCGCCCCGCACCTCCGCCTCTGCGTTCCAATTCCCGGCCCCCAGTCGCTTCCTTCCCAGTGCGCTTGCACGGTTACCGATGGCTTCCCGGCCCTTCGCAGTCATTAGGCGCCCCTCTCCTGCCCCACTGACCCATTGAAGCCACTTTTTACACCACCACCACCGCCCCAAGCCGTTGCCACTTACTCATTACCCCTGGGTCGATACTGCCACTTCCCAGGTTGCTGGAGCCTTCCCTGGGCACATCCAACACCTGCCCTACCCGAGGGCCGTTGCCAGTGCCAGCCTTTTCGGGACCTTTCAGAGATAAGATAGTGTACCTCAGTTTTCTGGGAACACAAGAGGGGTTTCAGGCTGCTGTCGTTGGTTCCAAGAGACATGACCCTAAATAGACATTCAGATATGCTACAAAGAGTACCATGAATGTGGCCTTGTGGAAGGCCACCCCAAGATAATCTAGAGCTGAGAAAGAGATTTTACAGACCATCAAAGATTCAGTGGGGGCCTTTCTAGGGACTTCTCTCTACCAGAGGAGCTTTAAAAACTATTGTGTTCCCAGGAGGATGACAGATGGTGAGCAAGCATTTGAAACCAGGTGGCTGGGGACATTAAGCTTGGAGAAAGTAACAATAGGGATACAGTTTTGAAGGGGCCAAGGGTTGTCTTGTGGAAGGATTAGACCTTGCTTTGTTTCCTAGAGTGCATTATCCAGTATGTGGAGGTTGCCAGTAGGCCAATTTTGGCTTGGTAGAAGGATAAATTTAGCACAATGAATTGACTGTCTCTGGGGATAGTAAACCAGAGACAATCCAGGTAATTTTTGCAGAAGAGTGCAAGAGATAAGGATTAGTATGAAGGACGCTAGGGTCCCTTCTGACTCTGAAATGCCCTGATACTCTGAGTTGTCTGTCCTCTTGTGGGAGTTTGAAAGCCACTTGTTAAATTCTTTTCAGAAACATGGCCAGGTCTGGAATTTACATGTTCAGATTACTTTAGGGATGTCAAGGTGACAGTTCCTCAATTTAAGTTCCATTATTACTACAGCAACCACCTAATTTGTATTAACTGTCCTTGATACCCCAAGAGCTTTTTTTACCCTGGTTATTTAATCTCCTGTGTGATGTAACTATTTAAGAAACTAAGGGACTTACTCTAAAGTCCACTAACCTTTCTTTTTTATTTGGAAACAAAATGTTCAACTCTCCAGAAAACTCTTTGAAGTATCCAATTTGCTTAACCATTCTGGGTCACATGCTCTTCCAGGGGCTTCTGAAATAATCTATTCTTTGTGTTTATTTTAAGACTAAGGCACTGATGTTTGAACAGGAAGCTTCAAAACTTTTGAAAGGACCTTCAGAATGGCTTTGAAACAGATAAACTAGAAGTTGCTTCAGAACACCACCTTCAGCATGTATCTCTGCTGTTGGGCTTTCCAGGTGAGGAGCTTTTTGAAGAGGTTATTCTGCAAAGAGCCAGAGAGCTGAAGCTCATGGAACCAGATTAGTGGACTTGACTTTCTGGCAGAAATCTATCACTTTATTACACTCTGCCTAAGAGGTGTGGAGGTATTCGTGGGACCAAAGGGCCTGCAAGGAAGGGAAGTAGCCCTTTCTTGCTGAATGAAAACTGCGCAAGTGACATTTCGACTGAAAACACTTAAACCTCCCACGCCCAGATTCATTCAACCCGGGACACACAGGAACCATTCCTCCTGGGGAGAAAGAAGCGATACTACAAACGAAAACCCAAATAAAGAGAATGAGGGCAACTGCAAAGTAAATGGCTGCTTCCACCTCCAAAGAGACAAAGTCAGCCTCCTGGTGAGTAACAAGGCCTGCCGTGGCTTACTTCCTGCCAGACTGCTGACGGATGTTATGGGTTAACTAAAAATCCCTAGCCAGATTGTTTAGATTATATTAAAGAAGAAAAAAGCGGTTTCCCCAGAGCAGCTGAACCAAGCATGTGAGCCATTTCTCTCCAAAGCTGACATGTTGCAACCTTGTAAGCCTGTTGCACTGTTTGAATGAGTCCAGCCTTGCTGGTAGATTGTAGACAAGATAGGTATGGCCTATCATGCCGCTGGCTTTGATAGTAACGTGGGCATTGTAGTCTGCACTTCGGAGAGACAAGAAATGGTTGCAGTGCAGAATTATACCATGAGAGGAGGTTTGGCTAGCCTGGCTCTTGAAGGGTATTGCCTAACATCTGCCTGTAACTCAGTTCCTTTCTCAACCCCAAATAGGTTAAGCCTCTCTCATAATTTGGTTCAGAAAATATTTCTTTGGGGAGATGAAAGGTATAGTTTAAACAGAATGAGCAAGATTTAGCGGCTGATTATATATGTGCGAGTCAGAGAGGTGGGGCTGTTCAAAATGATGCCCAGGTTTTCTTTTGTGTGCCTGGATGAGGTGGGGTGCTTTCACCCAGAGCATATAAAGAAAGGGTAGAATGGGGCCTGGTGGTGGGGTGTCGGGGTTGGGTTTGAAACATTCTTGAAGGTTTTGGATCTGGACTTGCCCTGCAACCAGTTGCCCCTCTGAACCCAGAACCCAGGAAAGCGTACTGTGCTAGCTTTCTGGGGAGTTTGCCTTGTGGTCTTAAGAGAGGTAATTATGCTGCAGAGCAGCCTTTACTGCGGAGTAGACTGAAAGAGTCTTTAGGGAAGAAAAGGGGTTATGGAAATTGAGAAGAGAGAGTCCCTTGGGGGAGGCAATCAGAAGCTTGAAGGATCTTGTGTTATACTTAGAGGCAGGGAGGGGTCTGCTGCCTCTCTGTGAACCCCTCTAGGCCCCCATTTTTCCCATTAGACACTCACACTCTGCCTTGAACCAGCATGTTTCGTCATCTCCCTGTTATACCGCCTTGGCCGCAGGGCTGCCTAACCCAGTGCACACTACTGGCTGTCGGGAAATGTGTGTTAAATTAATGCATGAATTCCTGGTAGAAGGGATATTTCTGGAGATCCTCATGCCCAGCGGTCGTGAGGAGTACGTCTAAGACATCCCTCACTTACTTTGTTGTCAAAGCCTTAAAAGACAGTTTACCCAACCGTGTGGCTATGTGGTTGAAGTTCCGTGTCTCAAATAAGAGATGTCATTGTGGGCGCTCCCGTCTTTCCTCCAAGCCGCTCCTCTGTCCTGTCAGGCAGATGGTCTGACAGCTGGAGAGGGGCATATTTTTAGTTTGACTCGGCTGCAGTTATGAAATGGTTTTTATCCATTTGTAGCTACTGGGCTCTTTCTGCACTGAGGCCACCCGAAGGCTTTTCAAATCCTGGGAAATAGGAAGCTATGTTTTAAAACACCTTGATCAGTGGATGATAGGAAACATGGCTCCATTCTGTTCTCTTGTCAGGTGGAATTATTTCTTCCTTTATGATGGTTCAAAGGTAAAGGAAGAAGGAGACCCAACAAGAGCTGGCATTTGCTATTTTTATCCTTCGCAGGTAAGCCTCACAGCGAGTTACTCTTCAGTAGGGATCCCGCTGCCCCAAGTGGTGGCTTTTCAAAAGTACAGGGTTTACATTGGGACAGTTTTCTTTGCATAATCCAGGCATTTGACATTTCTACTTTCTTACCCTTCGTTGTACCATTTCTTGCTGTTCTGGTCTTGAAATTCATAGGGAGCTAAGTACTTCCATCTTCTCTAGCTCCCTGTTACTATCATGATTTTCTGTCTGCCTCCCTTTGCTCCCAATTTTTGATCAGTTCATTAAAAAAACACTTCTACTCAAACATACAAGTAGAGGGGAGAGAATATTGTGAACCCTCATGGCTATCACCAGCTTCCACAATTATTGACACTTTGTCAGTTTTCTATCACCTATCCTAACGTTTCCCCATTTTTTTTTTCTAGAATATTTTGAAGCAAATCCTAGATAATCGTGTTCTCTCACCAGTATTAAATAACATCTCTAGCCGAAAAGGACATTTTTTTAAACATCACATCTAATCAAAGTCACAATAATTAGTTACAATTACTATTAATATGTGGTTCTATCTATATTCAATTAGTATCAATTAATGTAATTAATTAACATGATTAATTAATACCATTAACATCCTCTGATACTATCTGTGTTTGGGTTTTGTCTTGTTATCTTAGATGTTACCCAATCCTTCCTTCCTCCTTCCATCCTTCTCCCTTCTTCCTTCCCCTCTTTCTTAATCAGGACCCAGACAAGGTCTGCATGTTCCATTTGGTTATTTTGTGTAACACTCCTCACCCACCCATCCATTCTTTTTCCCCCCATGATAAACGAATCACTGAACTTGAAGAAACCAGGTCATCTGTGCCAATAGAATGTTAGTGTCTCACACTCTGGATTTGAGTGATCACTTCCTCATGGTGGTGTCAGTCAGTATCTTCTATCCACTGGGTTTCCTTAAAACCAGTAGTAAGATCTAGAGCCTTGATTAGGCAGCCTCTTCACAGATGGTGTGCACGTCGCTGCACATGATGTCTGGCTCTCCTACAGTTTAGCTGTGCTGAGGTCAGTTAGGTCTGTGTATTCACCCCTGTGACTCCATTGTGATCTGGATAGCTGGGATTAATCTAGGCTGCTCTGGCCACTGCAGGGGGTTTGAATAGGAATGAAAGGCTCATGCTTCTACCATGGATGTGCCTACAGTCCTAGGTACAAAAATATAGTTCTGTGCAACCATCTTACATGTTCACTGTGGGCGTTCTGTGACAGTCCGTTCATCCCAGCTGGGGTCACCAAACTTGGTCTAAAAAGAGCCAATAAGTGAATATTCCAGGCTTTTCAAGCCACGTAAAGTCTCTGGCACATATTCTTCTTTCCTGCTATTGTTTTTAAGATCCTTAAAAACTATAAAAACCATCTTGAAGGTTTTGGATCTGGACTTGCCCTGCAACCAGTTGCCCCTCTGAACCCAGAACCCAGGAAAGCTTACTGTGCTAGCTTTCTGGGGAGTTTGCCTTGTGGTCTTAAGAGAGGTAATTATGCTGCAGAGCAGCCTTTACTGCGGAGTAGACTGAAAGAGTCTTTAGGGAAGAAAAAGGGTTATGGAAATTGAGAAGAGAGAGTCCCTTGGGGGAGGCAATCAGAAGCTTGAAGGATCTTGTGTTATACTTAGAGGCAGGGAGGGGTCTGCTGCCTCTCTGTGAACCCCTCTAGGCCCCCATTTTTCCCATTAGACACTCACACTCTGCCTTGAACCAGCATGTTTCGTCATCTCCCTGTTATACCGCCTTGGCCGCAGGGCTGCCTAACCCAGTGCACACTACTGGCTGTCGGGAAATGTGTGTTAAATTAATGCATGAATTCCTGGTAGAAGGGATATTTCTGGAGATCCTCATGCCCAGCGGTCGTGAGGAGTACGTCTAAGACATCCCTCACTTACTTTGTTGTCAAAGCCTTAAAAGACAGTTTACCCAACCGTGTGGCTATGTGGTTGAAGTTCCGTGTCTCAAATAAGAGATGTCATTGTGGGCGCTCCCGTCTTTCCTCCAAGCCGCTCCTCTGTCCTGTCAGGCAGATGGTCTGACAGCTGGAGAGGGGCATATTTTTAGTTTGACTCGGCTGCAGTTATGAAATGGTTTTTATCCATTTGTAGCTACTGGGCTCTTTCTGCACTGAGGCCACCCGAAGGCTTTTCAAATCCTGGGAAATAGGAAGCTATGTTTTAAAACACCTTGATCAGTGGATGATAGGAAACATGGCTCCATTCTGTTCTCTTGTCAGGTGGAATTATTTCTTCCTTTATGATGGTTCAAAGGTAAAGGAAGAAGGAGACCCAACAAGAGCTGGCATTTGTTATTTTTATCCTTCGCAGGTAAGCCTCACAGCAAGTGACTCTTCAGTAGGGATCCCGCTGCCCCAAGTGGTGGCTTTTCAAAAGTACAGGGTTTACATTGGGACAGTTTTCTTTGCATAATCCAGGCATTTGACATTTCTACTTTCTTACCCTTCGTTGTACCATTTCTTGCTGTTCTGGTCTTGAAATTCATAGGGAGCTAAGTACTTCCATCTTCTCTAGCTCCCTGTTACTATCATGATTTTCTGTCTGCCTCCCTTTGCTCCCAATTTTTGATCAGTTCATTAAAAAAACACTTCTACTCAAACATACAAGTAGAGGGGAGAGAATATTGTGAACCCTCATGGCTATCACCAGCTTCCACAATTATTGACACTTTGTCAGTTTTCTATCACCTATCCTAACGTTTCCCCATTTTTTTTTTCTAGAATATTTTGAAGCAAATCCTAGATAATCGTGTTCTCTCACCAGTATTAAATAACATCTCTAGCCGAAAAGGACATTTTTTTAAACATCACATCTAATCAAAGTCACAATAATTAGTTACAATTACTATTAATATGTGGTTCTATCTATATTCAATTAGTATCAATTAATGTAATTAATTAACATGATTAATTAATACCATTAACATCCTCTGATACTATCTGTGTTTGGGTTTTGTCTTGTTATCTTAGATGTTACCCAATCCTTCCTTCCTCCTTCCATCCTTCTCCCTTCTTCCTTCCCCTCTTTCTTAATCAGGACCCAGACAAGGTCTGCATGTTCCATTTGGTTATTTTGTGTAACACTCCTCACCCACCCATCCATTCTTTTTCCCCCCATGATAAACGAATCACTGAACTTGAAGAAACCAGGTCATCTGTGCCAATAGAATGTTAGTGTCTCACACTCTGGATTTGAGTGATCACTTCCTCATGGTGGTGTCAGTCAGTATCTTCTATCCACTGGGTTTCCTTAAAACCAGTAGTAAGATCTAGAGCCTTGATTAGGCAGCCTCTTCACAGACGGTGTGCACGTCGCTGCACGTGATGTCTGGCTCTCCTACAGTTTAGCTGTGCTGAGGTCAGTTAGGGCTGTGTATTCACCCCTGTGACTCCACTGTGATCTGGATAGCTGGGATTAATCTAGGCTGCTCTGGCCACTGCAGGGGGTTTGAATAGGAATGAAAGGCTCATGCTTCTACCATGGATGTGCCTACAGTCCTAGGTACAAAAATATAGTTCTGTGCAACCATCTTACATGTTCACTGTGGGCGTTCTGTGACAGTCCGTTCATCCCAGCTGGGGTCACCAAACTTGGTCTAAAAAGAGCCAATAAGTGAATATTCCAGGCTTTTCAAGCCACGTAAAGTCTCTGGCACATATTCTTCTTTCCTGCTATTGTTTTTAAGATCCTTAAAAACTATAAAAACCATTCTTAGCTCATGGGTCTTATAAAGACAGGCAGCAGACTCTATCTGGCCTGCAGGCAATAGTTTGCCAACCCCGGTGCGGTGGAACAGCACAAGAGTTCAGCAATTTCAACCTCCTATCTGGAATTTGCTCCATTCCCATAGACCCTGCTTGACCAACAGGAGTTGCTCTGTGGGCAAATTGCCGGAGTCGTCCGCTGTATTTCTGACATTTCTGCCTCTGCTCCCACTCTAATTCGTCTGTGGAAACTGAAGTTTGCTGTAAAGGTTGATGGAGATTACCTTTGGGTAAGCATAGCAGACAGAACCGGTGCCGACTGGGCCGCTTTTGTCTTGTGATAAGCGTGAGTGTGGTGATGGTAAAGCTTGGGAGGTAATGCTTTGTGTGGCTCTTGAGCCTCAGTTTCCTCCCGGCCCCCATGTGCTGTTCCCAGTATCGTGCAGATTCCTGGGGCACTCTCTGCAGGGGCCCATTGTAGCTGAGTGTTCTCCAAAACGTTTCTAGCACATCCTGCATTGCCATGGCTGGCTTCTCCTTTCCTTTAGTAGACTTAGGCCAGCCTACAGAAATTCTGTTTGCTCTGTGATGCAGATTGAGTTTATAATGTCCATCTTTTCTTCTCTGTACCTGCCACACTTCCTGGGTAATTGGCCCAGAAACTCTAAGACATCTATGTGTATTTGTTAGATTTCAAAGAACTGTTAAAAATAAATAAATAAAAAACATTTCTCTACATCTAATACCCTAATGTGTTATTATCCCATGCCTACTCTTATTTAAAACTTACTCCTGAAATAGAGATGCCTAAGTGTGAGATACTATATTCAGTTTTGTGGGTATCATTTCCAACGTTTTATTACGAAGATTTTCTAACATACCAAACCTTGAAGGAATTCTGCAGTGAATACTCACACTAACCTGGATTCTACGATTAACATTTTATTATAGTTGCTTTATCACAGATATGTTCAGCTGTTTGTCCTTTGGTCAGTCCAGTTTTTATTTTCATGCTTTTCACAGTTGCACACGGTAGTATATGCCTTCCTCTCAACCAGATACTTCATTATGCATAACATTAACTGAGTTCAGTATATTTCTTTGGGCTTTTGTTTTTCTTTTGGGATGATGTTTACATATGATGAAATATACAAATCTTTATTGTACCATTTGATGCATGTAGACAGATGCACCTGTGAGAGCCAAGTCCCCATCAAGGATATTATTGTCACTCCAGAAAGTTCCCTGTGGCCCTCCCCAGCCTATTCTTAACCCCAGCATCCCAGGCAATCATTGTTCTGAATGTTCTCCTGCCATGGATTAGTTTTGCCCGTTCTAGAACGTCATATGAATGAAATAAAACACATAGAGTCCCTCTTATGGGCTTGTGTCACACCTCTTGATGTTCGTGGGACTCGCCCCTGTTGTGCCATTTATCAGCAGTTCATTCCTTTGTCTGAGTATATCCCGGGCAACTTTTTTTTTCTCTCTCTCTCTCTTTTTTTAAAGCCTCCTTCAATTTTTTATTGAATATTATTATATGCCTGGCTAGGGCTTTGTATCCCTTTTATTTTACTTACTTATTTATTTATTTTTGAGGTTTTTGTTTTGTTTATTATATATTTATTTTTTATTAAGGTATCATTGATATACACTCTTATGAAGGTTTCCCAAGAAAAACAATGTGGTTGTTACATTCACCCTTATTATCAGGTCCTCCCCATACCCCATTGCAGTCACTGTCCATCAGTGTAGTAAGATGCCACAGAGTCCCTATTTGTCTTCTCTGAGCTACACTGTCTTCCCCGTGACCCCACACACTCCATGTGCACCAATCATGATACCCCACAATCCCCTTCTCCCTCCCTCCCCACCCACCCTCCCCCACCCCTCCCCTTTGGTAACCACTAGTCCCTTTTTGGAGTCTGTGAATCTGCTGCTATTTTATTCCTTCAGTTTTGCTTCATTGTTATACTCCACTTACTCTTTCTTCTTTTTCTGGACACCTGAACTGTGGGCAATTAAGAATAAGCCTCCTCAGAACATTCCTGTGTGAGTCTTTTTTGTGGACATAAGTTTTCAATTCTTGTAGGTAAATACCTAGGTATGGAATTGCCAAGTCATGGGGTAGGTGTATGTTGATTTTTTTTTTTTAAGAAACTGCCAGGTGTTTTCTCAAAGTGGTTGTTCCATTGTACATTCCCACCAACAGTGTATGAGAATTCCAGTTAGCCCACATTCTTAAACACTGATGTAGTCAGCGTGTTTAATTTTAGCCATCTGCTGTATATATAATGGTATATCATTGTGGTTTTAATTTGCATTTCCCTAGTGACTAATGATATTATGGCTTTTTCGTGTGTTTAATGGCCATTTGTAGATCTTCCATCAAGAAGGGCTGCCCAAAGCTTTTGTCTGTCTTTTAAGTGGGAGGTTTTGTTTTTTTACTGAGTTGTAGGAGTTTTTCTTATATCCTAGATATCAGTTCTTTGTCAGGTCTGTATTTTAAAGATATTTTCTTCCAGTTTGTGGCATGCTGGTTAATTTTCTTTGTCTCATAATGAGCAGAAGTTTTTAATTTTAATGAAGTCTAAATTTATCCATTTTATTTTTTATGGTTATTGCTTTCTGTAGCCTAAAACCATTGCCTACCCCATTGGTGAAGACATTCTCCACTGTCTTTTTTTGTAAATTTATAGTTTTAGCTTTTAAATTTGGGCCTGTAGTCCACTTTGGATTAAGGTTTGTGTGTGGTCTGAAGCAGAAGTCAACGGGTGTTTTGTCCGTATGGGAACCCTGTTCCAGTACCGTCGTTAGAAAAACTCTCCTTCCCTATTGGATTCCTTTGGCTCTTGTTGAAGATCAGATCACCATTTAAGTGTGGGTATCTTTCTGGGCTCTCTGTTCTTTTCCACTGACATATTTGAGATCCTATATGAGTACTACATTGGCTTAAAATCAGTCCAAGCCTCCAATCTTACTCTTTCCCAAGATAACTTTGGATATTGTAGATCCTTTGTATTGCTATTGTAGAAGCAGTTCATCAGTTTCTAAAGAAAGGCTGGTGGGATTATGACTAGAATTACATTCAGTCTGTAGATGAGTTGGGCAAGCTGTAAGCACTTACTATGTGCCAGACTCTTGTAAACTCTTAGATTACATCAGGGAACAAAACAGAGATCCTTGTCCCAGCACAGCTTACATTTTTTGTTCGCTTTCCATCAGGGCGTGTTTAAGTTTCTGATGATTCCCTTGGGAAAGATTCCTAGAGGGTAGAATTGCTGAGTCAAAGAGTATGAACTTTTTTCAGGCTCCTTAAACATATGGTCAAATTACTTTCAAACTGAGCAAGTATTTATCTTCTGTGGAACTAAGCATCACACTCAGCATCTGGAGCTCTAGAACTCTGTGATGACTCAGCCCCTGTTCTTGAAGCACCTGATCCAGCTGGGAGACAAAATGGCTATTCACGAAATAGTTTGAGTCCTGTCCGATGTTTGCAGTGAAACCCAGATGAACCATCCAGTGTCCAAGCAGCAGTCCCAGTAATACCAGAGGGCAGGAAACAGGTCAGCATTGGCTGGAGTGATCAGGACAGGCGCCATGGAAGTGCTAGAATCTGTGGTGGGCACTGAAGCGCATGGCTGGTAAGCCCTGGGCAAGGAACAGGAGAGAGGAGGGCATTTCAGGTTGGACAACATGAAGAGATACAAAAAGTATTGTCTGTGGAGACCAACTAGGCTGGACTGGAGGGTGGAGTGTGGGACTAGGGCAATGGAAGGCCGCTTTCGATAGGCCAGTGAATTCTAGCTATACAGAGTGCTGACTGCCAGGATTCTGGGCTTGGACTTAGCAAAGGAAAATGCCTGTCTTCCTGGTGTCCCTTGTCCCAGGTGCTGGGATGTGCTGTGGAGCTCCCTGATGTCAGCTGCAGGCAGTTTCTGGACCAACTGATTGGATTCTTTAACTTTTATAATGGACCTGTTTCTCTGGCATACAAGGTATGAGGATAACGGTGAGGAGTCTTATGTGGGGATTGCTTAGCAAGCATGATATTGCCAGACCATGGCATCGCTCTGGGGTGTTAGACTTTACATGAACACGTGGTATCCAGCAACAAGGTCAAGGGCCCTTGGAGCCCCTCTCAGATGCCTTTGTTCTCCAGTGGCATAGGTCACGTTCATTCCAGATGTTTACCCCCATGCCCTCCCTGGGATGGTTGGGAAGGACAGGGCCTGGTTGCCACCCTCCCCTGGTAGGTCTGGAGGTTAGGTTTTTGGGGTGGGAGGTGGGGTCTCGTGTGTGTGTGTGTGTGTGTGTGTGTGTGTGTGTGTGTGTGTGTGTGTATGAAGTTTAAAACAGGCTCTTGCTGCCAGTTTCCTGTGTGAGAATGAATTCTGTGGTAATGGACATCCTTGGATCGTCTCTCAGAGTCTTGGACCCTGACCTCAGGCTGTCTCTGTTTTTAGAGCTTTTCTCAGGAAGCACTGAACACCAAGTGGGACAACTTCATTGAACAAATTCTGAAAAACACCAGCGATCTGCATAAGATATTCAATTCCCTCTGGAACTTGGACCGAACTAAAGTAACATTTTCATTCTCTTACTCATTTCATGTGCAGGAATGGAGCTTCTGGACACTTTTTTCCCCATTATGAACTATATACATTGAGAAGTGGATAGAACGTGTCATTTCCCAGTCAGGGTGGTTGTTAAAGACCCACACTCAAATTCCATGTTGTCACTCGCCAGCTGGGTGAGTGTGGACTAATCCAGGCACCAGACAGCACCCCACTTTCCTATCCGTGAAATGATGTCATAATGTGTACTTCCCACAGGTGTTTTGATGATAACATGAGACAGTACCTAAGTGACCCAAAGTAAGTCCGCAGTAAAGGATATTACAGCTGACCCCTGAACAGCAGGGGGTTAGAGGCACTGCCCCCACCCCCCACACAGTCAGAAAGCTACGTATAACTTTTAACTCCCCCAGAACTTAACTAATAGCCTGCTGTTGACCGGAAGCCTTACATAACATAAACAGTTGATGAGCACATATTTTGTATGTTAGATGTGTTATATGCTATATTTATACAATAAAGTAATCTGGAGAAAAAGAAAATGGTTTTTCAAATGGGCACAGATCTCCACAAAGTTTTCTGATAATTTATGGAAAGAAACCTGCATATAAGTGGACCCCCACAGTTCATACCTGGGTTGTTCAAGGGTGAACCATATTATTTTACTAACGTTCCAGAAGTGTTAAAGTGCGTAATCTGAAGATCCCCTTCTCCCTTGATGTGAATATTATATGATTTATTTATTCTCAGCATCAAAAATGCCCAGCACTAACATTTCAGAACCAAGGTGGCTGTAGCTAGGAGAGAGTAGCTGGGAAGTGTTTGGTGTTTCTAACCATTCCCTTGGCCATTGGCATTCAGTGAACTGTAGGGTGCTGTGTGGCTGGCTTGACCCCCTGTGCTTCCTGTCAGTCAGTGGTCTTGTTCTTGGGGAACATCATATCCTCATGGTCAGAGGGCCAAAGGGAGATGTGAACCTGTTGCCCCCTTAAGAACTGACCACCTGTACCCCAAGTGTCTCAGGAGATGAGACCCATTCTGTGCTGCCAGCCCTCTGTTCTGTTGGGCTGGATCTCACTGCCGTAGTTAATAGTGCCACTTTAACGGGGGGTGGGGGTGCAGCATGTGACTACCTTCACAGAGTATGACTCTGGCTAGAAATGGGGAAGGGTTTTTCCCTGCTCCTGTCTGGACTGCTTCTCAAAGTCAGTGCCAGGGCTTTCTGGAATGGCTGGCTGGGCTGAGTGCTGTCCTGAGGCCCTGAAAGAATAAACTCAGCTTGTAAATGGGGCACTAACTCCAGGGCTTGGCTGCATCGGCACTCACAGGTCTAACTGCCAGGAGAACATGAAGGGGCTTTTGGTTATTGGCCATTCTTAACTAGGTTCAGATCCTCTTCTGGTATTTTTAGGGGCTTCTAGGTAACTGATGTCTTAGAAGGAATGTGGAACTGAGGCGTATTTCCCTGAGTGAAAGACCATGGCATTTTCCTTTATTATTATGGAACAGAGTTCTGTGGCCTGGCCAGATGTCAGGCCAGCTGTGCTGCAGAGGGGCTTGTGCTCCAGAGGTTGGAAGGTGGGGTCAGCGGTTTGACTGGCACCACGACCCGTATTTGAGGGGTGGGCCTTTCTCTCCTGCTGCCTCCTGCTCTTAGCAGCGATAGTCGGGTGCCTTAGGCAATCTGCTTTGTCCCTCACGAATAGCCATATGCCATATTTTCTGTACTCGTTCCTCCTTATTCCAAGAATTTGGCAGTTTGTGGTATCCACAGTTCTGGGTATGGAGAGGTGGAATAGACCCAAGAAATGGCACAGATTTTAACACGTGGCATATTCTCCTCTTCCAGGCTTTGGGTTATGACCTGCCCATCTGTTTTGTAAAGGCCCTTTCTCCTCCCTCCCTGCTGCTTTCGGGCATGTTAACCCTTGGGTGTGTTTCTGGCCCTGCGCAGGTGGAGCCCCTGCTGTTGCTGAAGGCAGCCCTCATTCTGCAGACCTGCCAGCGCTCGCCTCACGTTCTTGCTGGCTGCGTCCTCTATAAAGGACTGTGAGTAATGCTGGGCCCCGCTCTTCCACCCCATCCCCTTGCTGCAGGACCGAGCATCCCAGCCATCTCCAGATCATGGGAGGGGAGCTCCATCTCTGGCCAGCTCTAAGTGGGCTGGTTTGGCAAGTATCAGATAGTTTGCATTTGATTTAGGGTATGTCCCTGTCTTTGAGCAAAGTTGGATACTTGACAGTTGTGTCCAGAAAAGAGTTAGGAATATAAAAGGCAGATTTAAAGAGATCTTTGTAATTCTCAGGTTAGGGCTTGCCTTTATAGCTGGCAGTCTACAGAATGCTGCGCACAGCCCCCTGGTTGCCGGCAGCCAGCCTGGTGAGGAAGGGGTGGCGGCTGCGATGGCCTTCCTCCTGCCGCCCTCCTGCCGCCCGGGGCGCTGGCTGCTGCTCAGCTCTTAAGGGCAGCGGGGAGTGTTTCTCCTTGGGCTCCTGCCTGCCCCTTGGTCGGCCTCTGAGGTGTCAGCATTCCTCTTCACATAGTTGGAGGGCCTCTTAGCGAGCCCGAGTGCCTGAGAGCCACTCCTCACCTCGTCCGAGGCTCCTGTCCGTGTGGGGAGATCGGGGGCGCTGGGGATTCTCTCTCTCCCACATGTGACCTTGGGCAACTTGCTTAATCTCAGTTTCGTCTTCTGGGAAATAGAGATACTTGGTGGAGAATAACAGGAGATGCCAGGTGTGGGAGCACCGCGCCTAGCCCCCGGTTCCCGTGGCCCTCAGCACATCACACCCGCAGCCTTTTCCTCTCGTTTCCCCTGGTAGCTCTGCAGCAGCTGGAGGTGCCTCCAGGCCTGCCAGTGATGTGGCATCACAGATGGCAATTTTTTCCTTCCTTATTTTGCATTTCTTACTTATTTCTAAATGATGCACCTAGTGCACAAACACGTTCTCATTTAAAAAAGAAAACGAGAGAAAACACACCTCACACGATTTCAGAGTCCCTCTCCCTGCTCCCTCCTCACACTCAGCCCGTCTCCGCTGTGCGCCATTGGTGTGCCCCTCCCTTTGCTCTTCCTATGCGGTTTCACACTGTACATATTGGTGCACCTCATTTTTTGTGTTACAGCTGTGCCGTGATTTATTTAACTATTCTGTTGATGGACATTTAAGTTGTGTGCCCATTTTTTAACAATTCTACTATTTTTCCTGTAATGAAAATTCTTAAGTGTACATCTTGGTATCAGTTGGGTCAAAGGTTTGGACACTCTAAATGTTGATAGCAATTGCCAGCATGCCCTCCATAAGGGCTTTACCAGTGGAAACTCCCACCAGCTGTGTCCCCAAGATCCTCGCCAGCACAGGGTGTTAGGAATCTCTTCCGTTCAGAGTCCTACAGTGTATTTCTTCTCACGGTGTCCTTGTTCCTATGTCTGACCTCCTAGGATTGTCAGCACCCAGCTGCCACCCTCCCTCACAGCCAAGGTCCTGCTGCGTCGAGCTGCACCTCGGGACCAGGTACTGTAAAGCCCACCTGCCGGGATGGGACACTTCATCCCAGTGTCTGTCTGCACCAGGTGCCCAGTGGCGAGGCTGAGCCCCAGGGCGAGGCGGTCGGAGGGTGCTGCTGCACCCACGGGGCGGTGTACTTAGTCACGTCAGGACCCCGGGTCCGGCAGAGTGGTTTTCCTCGAGAGTGAAGCTGCCAGCAAGCCTGAAATGTTGCCTTACACGTGATTGATGTGGATAGTTGGTTTTTCTTCAATCCAGGTGGAACTGTGAGAACCTGATTTCCCTCAAGGATGGGCTTTATGTCAAAGAGATGTTAGATTTTTAGAGACAGACTAGTAAAGGATGATGTAGGAAAACAGAAGCTCTTTTAAAATACTTCTGTCTTGTGTTTATTTAAGTGTTTTTATTTTTTATAGTGAAAAGTCATACACACTCATCAAGAATAAAGTTGCCCACAGTTGGACTGCACAGAGGTCATCACTGCTGGCATCTGGCCCGCTTCCTTCCAGCCCATATTTCTTTCATTTTGCTTATTCTTAGCATATGAAGCTATAGGTTTCAATGTAGCATAGGGCTAGCTTTTCACACTTACTAAATCAGTGGACATGTAAAACGGTTTTAGGGCTGTATTTGGGCTCTTTCCCCCTGTTGGTGGAGGTGTGATAAGAGTTATCTTTCTGGAAAACTATTTGGTAAAGAGATGATTAAGGATGCCCTTCCCTTTTTCCTAATAATTCAGCTTCTAGAAATCGATTCCAAGGTGATCATCACATTGCTGAAAAAAATGTATACTCAAAACTTTATCACAACGAAGTTTATGAAAGTGAAAACTGAGCTCTAACTTAGAAGTCTAAAGTAGGGGCTGGCGAACTATGGCTTGTGGGCCAGTCACCTACAAAGTTTTATTGGGCTGCACTTGAGCTATGACAGCAAGTTGAGCCATTGGTACAGAGCCTGTATGGCCCACAAAGCCAAAAATATTTACTGCCTCACCCTTTGCAGAAGAAGTTTGCCACTAACTGGCTTAAAGTAGGGAAAGATTCATCCACCTACTCCACTTTAAACTTTACTAAACACAGGCAGTAATCTAAAGTGACCAAAGATGTTTTAATGATAGGAATTGCATATTATTTTTTTAAGCAGAATAGAATTCTATAGTATGTGATCTCAAAAATATTTAAAAATGCAAACACTTACAGGAAAATATGTCCAGTATTAACAGTATTAGTTTGTGCAAAGATGAGGAAATTATATGCGATTTTCTTGCATTTTTATCTAGAGTAAGATTTGCAAAAAAAACAACCACCCAAAAAAGAAAGCAAGCCATGTCATTTCATAGGTGTGAAAGTCATTTGGACTAGAAGAGCAGTCTTTGTTTTGTTTTGATGGTCCTTTTGGGACCTTTTAGTTGAGATGTCTGGAAAGCTCTTCTGAGAAAATTCCTAATTTCCTAATTATTGACAAAATTAGGTTTCTCGCTTTCCGAATCAAAATAAATGAGAGATCTGGCATAGCATTTTGTTTAGGTCAGATCCTTTATCGTGAGGGTTCCAGGATCTTCACATTTTTGTTGTAATGGAATTTGTGTGAGTTCTCTGCCAGGGCTGGGGCAGATGTGGATACATTCTAGGAGATGAGTTTTCGGTGGTGTAAAAATGACAGGAATCCATGCTCCTATCCCCAGAGGAGAGAAACTGAGATATCGGGCTGTAAAGCCCAGGGTGAGTTTGGGTGGAGCTGCTGCCTTGCGGCCTGTGGAGGCGCTGGTTCCTGCCTGACCGTCGCCATGGCAGTGAGCAGGCAGCTTGTGGGAGCTTCTGTTCCATCTGCTCTGCTGTTGGCATGCAGCTGGGACAAGCTTTCTGGGCCTGGCCAAGTTTTAGGGACAGTTGGCATGGGGCACTCCTGATGGCTAGGTCAGGAGGAGGATGTGGTACCCAGCTCCACCTTGTGTGTGTGTTTCCTTTCAGAGAGGACCTACGGGAGGGGATGCCCCACAGGAGCAAGGTGAGTAGGCAGGGGCACTGGCGCATCTTGGGAATGCAGCTTTCCTACTGCTCGGCCCTGTGCAAGTCACGTGAGGGGCTGAGTAGTCCCAGGTGGTACTGCATCTGCTCAGGTTAGGAAGACAGAGCTTCAAGAGCAAAGTCACCGTCAGAATCCTAATCATAAAGCTCATGGTTTTAGGCATCCCTTTTAAATCGCTTTCAGATACTCCTTCACTGACTATTACGAAACTGCTCAGACAAGTTCAAGGGCTAACAGTTAGGAGGGAGTAAGCTAAACAGTGACCACCAGCCTCTTGCAGGATGTGGAGGCATCCCCAAGGCAATTACTTTGTTTTCATTTTGAAGGTAAGTTGAGGTAGATCCCTTTTGTCAGCTGGGATCTTTTCCAGTTTATAACTTTTGTTTTTAAGTGCCACTATTTCACCAGACATCACCCTTCTCCACAACTGGAAGCAAAGTTGCCCACATGGGCTCTTCCCCTCGCTGATCACAAGACAGGCTAGCTGCAGTTTAGGGCTTTTGTTCTGGGCTGGAGGCTGGATCACAGTACTGTCCTCTGAGCTGGCGGGGGTTGGACATGTCACCCCCAGAACAATTACTGCCCCTCTGTCTTCTCTGGCCCAGGGGACAGCCCCGTCCATGTTGCTTTGTGATTCTAGGGGTGGTGCTCCCCCCAAATGTCGAGATCATGCCTGTTTTCCTGACTGAAGAGGAAGCTGTCAGTCTCTGCGAGTTCCCTGGGGAGTGGATGACCAGGTAGGGGGGCCGAGGAGGGGTGCCCTCGCATGGGCTTCCTTAGACAAGCCCTGGCACAGTCCAGCCTCCCGCAATTCCATCTTCTCCACACTGTGCCTTGGGACGCGCATCTGGATCGGTGGCCTGTGGATAAGGGGCAGCTGGCATAGTTAGATGAGTGTAGGTTTCACTCCAGTCTGTCCTTATCAGCTGGGTGACCTCAGGCAAGTCCATTCCCTGCCTGAGCCTCAAATTTTTCATCTGTAAAACGGACCCAGTAATCCTGTAGTATGGGCTCCTATTGAATATTGGAAATAGTCTGTGTATTGCCCAGTATAGGGTCTGTCTCATAGCAGACCCCCAAATGTGGGTGACTCTTGTTCAGTGGGCCCTGCCATTTCCAGTCGGTGATACTGGTATTGCACGAAGCCCTGAGGACCAGGCCCTGCCGTATATTTACTCCTGTGGTGTCAGCATCACGGCCCCTTAAGCTCTGTGTTCTCAGGCAGCCACTCCTCACTGACGGCCTCTGCACCCTGGGAAAGTGCTCTAGTCCCCCACGGGGGACAGTTGTGTTCCTCCTTCACTCTACTTTGCTCCCCAGCTCTCCTGCGTCTCCAGCCCGGCTCCAGGAATGCTCAGCCCAGCACCCTCCGGAGGGTTGGAGCACCTCTGCCCCGAGAGAAGACACCTCTGGGCATCGGGAATCCATGGCCTGGACGTTGGCAACCACCCCTGAGCCCATGTCCCCTGATGTCACTTGGCCAAATGGCAAGAAGGAGGACAGACGCCTGTCTGGCCATGATCTGGAGCGTATCAAGCCCCTAGAACCGTACAGCACTGTCAGGGATGAGGGCCCTGGTTCTGACTGGTTCCTGGTGAAGGAACCTGGTTTGTTTGGGAGGATAGCAGAACTGGACTTGTCTGAAATCCACATTCCAGAAACTAAGAAAAGGGGAACATCCTCAAGTCATTTTTCCTTACCGAGTGTGTGTACCCTGGATGGTGGTGGTCCTTATGGCAAGGAATCTGTCGGCGACTCTGGCAGCCCAGAACCTGAGCTGCCCTCGGCCCTGCCTGTGGGCAGCCTCTTCTCTCCCTCTCCTCCTGAGATGCTTGCCCAGAATGGAGCCCTAGCCCAGCGCGGAGACCTTCCTGGGGACAGCAGCCAAGCCCCCATTCCCAGGGAAGACCGCCTCTCCAGCAGGTTGAGCCAGCCGTTGTCTTCGCCTCACTTGGATTTGAGGCGGAGAGAAGCTACGCTCCCCGTGGGGGAACAAGGCCTGGAGCAACGCGTCACAGGGCATGAGAGCTACTCAGCCCCCAGCCAGGAATATGGCTGGAGCTTGGCACACACTCAGGGCGATGGTCCCTCTGCAGACGGAACTGGCTACAGGTCAGCATCCCACGGAGGACTCTCACGGCTGAACCTCTACACTCACAGCGTTAATGGGCTGGTGCTATCCTTGCTGGCCAAGGAGACGCTGCTGCGGGACGCGGCTGCCATCGAGGAGGTGGTGAGTGTGCTCAGACCCCCCTTGCCCTCTGCAGCCTGCTCCTGCCTCCTAGGGGTGACGGGCTGTCGCAGAGCAGGAGGGGCAAGTGTCAGCCTTCAGCTGCGTGACCTGGTGCCAAACGTCCTGGTTTATGGGGGGGGCTGACAGCAGTACCCGCATTTCAGGTTTGGTGGGGTGAGTTGAGAGAGGGAGGCATAGTGCTGGTGCAAAAGCGAACAGCAGCGTAGGATCTCCCGCTCCTTCCTGCTATTTCCGGTCCCATGCACAGACCTTGAGCGGGGCGGACCTGAGTCAGAGTCCTGGGGCGGCCATGTGACTGCATGGAGGCCCTGCCCCTCTGAGTCTCTAGTGCTCATCAGCAGTGCCTGCAGGTGGTGACAGGCCTGGCCCTGCCAGGTGTGGTCACATAGGCGATGACCACACATGCAGCCGCACTGCTGACAGCCTCACTTCTCAGCCTGGGCCTGGGCAGCTCGAGGTTCTGTGTCAGCTGGGGTCTTACGCTGTGTGTGTCACAGCCTGAGTTGGGAGGTTTCCAGAAGCCCCCGTTTCCCTCCAGGACCCTTGCACTGTCCCTGGTGGATCTGAAGCTCCTCCCTGGGGACATCTGAAATGCTAAGGGTCCTAGCTGCAGAGGGCTCCTCTTCATCCATCCCAGCCCCTTCTGCATCACAGCAGTAGATGGACCGCAGGGCCTGAGCCCACGCTGGAGATCCAGTTGCCATAGTAACAGTCTTGCTGTAGTTGCAGAGGCACGTGATAGCGGTGAGAACAGCACTTTGAAATTGCTGCAGGGCAAATGGTGTCCTGGAGCTTGCCATGTTTTTGTTCTTAAATCTGTATTATTCTAAGCAGTCTTATTAGCATGCGGGGCTTGTGAACCTCCATAAATGAGCGAGTCAGTCACCTTGGAGCAGAGAAGGAGGGAAGGCGGCTTCCTTCACACAGGCCGGAGGCCAGAGAATTCCGTCCCAACCGGCTAGCATCTCTCTCCTTTTTCCACAGACCCCTTCCCCGAGTGCTGGCCGGTTTGCCTCCCGCATCCTCCTTGACCACAGCTCTCAGGGACTTAACCTCCTCCTCCTAACAACACGGGGACCCCGGGTTGCTGCTTCATACAGCTCGTCTCCCTGTGATGCCTTCATTCTCATGGTCTGTGCTGCTCAGAGCTGAGTGGTAGACATGTTGTTTTGAAGGCCCAGTGTTCCCTCTTCCACCTTCTCCCCAAAAAGATAAAGAAAAAGCTCAGGCTGCTCTTGAAGAAGGAAGTGAATGTATGCCGCATTCACTGTATGCTAAATGCATCTGTCATTTTAGCCAAGCCCTTGAACAGGTCTGGGAATAGACATCCTAACTCCCATTTACCAGTAAGGAAACATCTTTGTTGAGTTGAAGACCTAGTCAACTGGTGGGTCCAGAATCCTCTCTCGTTTCTCTTCTCCCTGCTGTAGCCTCTCTGTCCTGCACCCATCTGAGCTCGGAATGTAGGTGGGAAGGTGCCGGCAAGGGGGAAATGCCCTGCCGTCTGTGGCGCTTGACAGGTGGACATACCACTTGTTTTGTCACGGCCTGTCCATTACGTAGGACAGCAGTCTCAGGGGATTTTATGTAAAGTCGGATTTGGTGGTGGGTAGGCTCCAGGAAAGAGAATGCAGTTTAATGGAAGAGCTCACTTTTTCGAAAAAGAGTAGGAATGACAGACTTCAATCAGCTTGCTGGTTGGAGAGCAGGGCTTGTTGATCAGACCCAGAGTCTGTCTCTATTATAATGGGGAGGAGCTTTTCCTGCCTTTTTGTCCTGGGCCTGCATACAGAATACTTGACCTCATTTCCCTCCAAACCGTCTGCGGCTGTCTGGAAAAGCAAGCCCCTGCAGAGGGGTAAACTACCATTCAGGTGCGGCAGTGAGCACACCCTGCCTTGAAAGGGCTCCTTGACTGTTGTGCACACGCCACGCACCCTCTGGTCGTTTTGCCATCTTGTCTTTCAGGGGATCAACTGCCACCTCTTTACGTTTGCAGAAGGTTGGGGGGCAGGTAACTGGGTGGAAGGAGATGTGAGGGGGCTGAGCAAGGAGAGGTTGGGATTGTTCAGGGGAACAGAGTGAACTCACACCAGGGGGCAGCATAGAGCTACTGATCCTGCTCAAAACCCAAGATCCTCTCATTGACCTTCAAATACAGTGACCAGATCATTAATTTATTGCTACTATAGGACTTTGAGCTGGCTGGGTACAGCAGATGAGGTTTGAGGTTAATGTGTGAGTGTTAGTGTAAAATACTTCATAAAAATGCATCCCTCCCCCATGAAACTAGTGCTTTTGAGTGAATGTGTAACTGTGTCATTTCTTCTGCACATTGACATTCAAGCCCCTTGCTTTGCTAGGGACTAGAAGCTGGAGGTTCCCAGAATTAGCTCCACCTGTATGTCTCCTGGGGCTTTTGTGAGGATTGCATGTGTAGTAGGATATATTGGGTTGGCAAACTCTTAATGTATAGGAACACATTGGTATTTCAGCTTTGCACAACTATTAAACTCTGCCATCGCAGTACAAAAACCATAGAGAATATGTAAATAAATGGCATGTCTGTGTCCTACTAAAACTTGTGGACATGGAAATTGGAAGTTCATACAATTTTCACATGTCACAATTTTATTCTTTCTTCCTGACTGTATAAAAATATAAAAAGCATTCTTAGCTCTCAAGCTATATGAAAATATTTGCTGACCCCCAATATGTAGGAAAGCACTTGGTTACCAGTTAAAAAAGTTGTCCATGTGTCATCTGACATAACATCTTGTGATTGTACATTTACTGTTAATTGATTTGATCTTAAATTAGCAGAAGATTCCAGAAGCAGAGCTCGGTGCCTATGAGGAATACTTGGGTTTTAGCATCTTTCACTCTCTGTTCCCATCATCCCTTCCTCTGGGCACTGGCTTGAGATGGGAGGATTGACTGCTACCAGGTTCCAGAAACTTCCAATGAGGCAGTGGTTTGACTTCCTAGTGAATGGGTTTGTGGGTATATGCACACATCTGACAGAAGGCAGCTCATTAGCACCTGATAAGCTGCGTTCCTTAGGCCATACCAGTGATCTGAACAGGAGATATAATATACCTGTCTCCCCTGAGCAGAGGCCCTTCTACTTTACTGTGCACCTCAATTTAAACCAAGTAGCTCATAAGTTCAATGGGCTTGGCATTGGATATGCCCCTTTATTTTGTAGATGTTTATTGAGCACCACCTAGGAGCCAGGCACTCTGCTAGGTGTGGAGTGCATAAAATAATAGATGAGTACATAAAATAAAACAGTATGCAAACCAATAGGTTTAAACATCATTTCTAAGATGCTCTGGTAGAAAAACTGATTGAAGCCCAGTCTACTCCCCAAACAACACTCAGCTTCATGACATTTACTGCAGAAGCATTCTCTCTTCATCTCTGTGCTCTTACGTATGCTTATTTTTCTACACAGCTGTTGAAGAATAATCCACGGACAAGTCCTATGTGCTTATTAAAGAGAGAGTATGTCTACCATAATAATTTGCATTTTCTTGACTCTATAAAAATGCCTTCCCTCAGGGTAGCACTTCAGAGTTTACAAAGGACTTTTTTGTATGTCATTTCACTTAATCCATTTGACAGTCCTGCAGTGGTTTCCATTTAGGAGATGAAAAAAAAATGAGGTATAGAAAAAAATGCAGTAACTTGCCCCTGGTCATCTGGCCAGGAAGAGGCTGAGCCAGGACGTCCTTCACCTGGGAGTCGCCTGCTGCCCAGGGACAGTGGCCCTCTTCTGGCCAAAGCAGCCTCTTGGGAGCCCCAGGAGGCTCAGTTTCAGACGGAGTCCATCGGGATATGACTGATGTACTTGGTCAAGGCCAAAGTCTAGCTCAAAGAATACCACGCAGCCATTAAAGAATGGTGTTTCAGGAGAACAGTTTAAGGATAAAGAAAGTAGCTCATGCTGTGTCATTAGGTTATAAAACTAGTGTTGGTCATTGTTTATGGTTTGGTCCCATTCTTTCTAAAAGAAGAATTATACATAATGGTGTGGTCCCGTGTTGTCAGCTATACCTGCACATAACTCATCCCCTGAGAGGTTTTAAAATCCAGGTGCTTGAGTAGACACACTTCCCAGACAGGCTTCCTCAGTCAGTTCCTCCTCTGAACTACAGAGCCCAGAAATCCACCTCACCCACACGTCTCAGTCCTTCCCAGGACTGTGTGTAGCTGGTACCATTCTCGATGCACCGAAGAGGTGAGCTCATTGCAGACAGCGCAGGACCCCTCAGCCCGGGCCTGTTGGGAAGCGCTGGAGTGTGGGCCCCGCTGGCTGTTCCGTGCACACGAGCGAGCGGCCCAGGTGGGAAAGGCGTGGTTAGAAGGAGATGTGCCAAGGGGCTGACCGTGGCTATTACTGCATGGCGAGATTATGGCCCATTTTTCTGTGCTTTCTTCTTTAACTCATTTTCCTGTTCACCTCTATTTTCTGATTTTTCTACAATACGAGAAAGCCCTAGAACCTAAGGGTGCGAGTCAGTACTTCTGGTAAAAATAGCAGTTGGCGTGCTTGTGACTGAATCAAGTAGCCAGTCAGCTCTTCTTGGATGGTATTCCCAAGGCTGCGGCTGCCGGGGTGAATTCTGCAGCTCGCGGCCCTCCCCTGCCCCTTCGCAGTACCACAGTAGCCTGGCGTCCCTGAATGGGCTGGAGGTGCACCTGAAGGAGACACTGCCTAGAGACGAGGCTGCCTTCACAAGCAGAACGTACAACTTCACGCATTTTGACCGCATTCAGAACACGCTGATGGGTAAGGAGGGGCGCGGGGCAGTGGGGGTCAGGACTCAGGCCCGGCCAGCGGCGCCTGATGTGCAGTGAGGGCACCGCCTTCTCACTTGGGGCCCTGCTTCCTCTGAGTTAAGAATTCGCTTGGCAAACACTTCCTTGCTCTCTTGTCTTTCTTTGGTTGTTTTCTTCATTTTGAGGGGAAGACGTGCAGGTCCAAGTTCCTGTGATAAGGTCTGCCTCAAGGTTCTGACATTCATCATCGGGGACAGTGTGTGCTCTGTGGTGGCATGGTGGCAGCCATCGGGTCCCAGCACCCTGGGCCCTTGTTTCTCTCCCCCAGCACCCATGGGCCTGGGTTTACTGGGGTTATGAGGCGGGTCAGCAGGAGTCCGGGACTCACAATTCTCCGTCCTTTTCTGAAAGCGAACCTGCCCCAGGAGGCCGCACCCCAGGATCGCCGCTTCCTCCAGGCCGTCAGCCTGATGCATTCAGACTTTGCCCAGCTGCCCTCGCTGTATGAGATGACCGTCAGGTGAGGTCCCCCAGTCACTCTCTTGACCCTGCACCAGGGCTTCCGGCAGGGCTCACTCGTGATAAATGAAGAATATTCCATGACTCTCTTGAAGGCCTTTTATCTGCTCATGTGGCTGCCATCCTCACACTTTCCCGTGTCATATTTTCTGGGTCCCTTCCTGCGGCTCAGAACTGCCATACACGGGTACAGCCATGAGGAAACCTGAGGGCCGCACCGCCTCGGAGCTTCCGTCCATTATGGGGAAGGCGGGTCTCTGTCTGCTCATCATAAACGGTGCCGGGGTGATGTTGCAGTCTAACTTGACAAGTCCTACGTGCCCGTGCAAACACTGACTTCTCCAAAACCGTGAAGTAAAACGTTCACCTCCCCTCTCCCATCATACACCCACAAGATACAGTACTAGTGCTGGGTTTTATTGGTTGGTTTTGGTTTTTATTTTTTGCATATAAAATATATATTAGTATTTTAATTTTAATTATTGTAATAGTCTTTGTGAAAAAGGATCATACTAACGTACCATTTTACAAGTTTGCATATCTTAAACATCCCTATGTCAGTAGATCCTGATCTATTATTGTAACTTACAGTCTAATTCCACTTTTTCTCTCTACATGCTTCTCTTATGAAATCAGCAGCAGGAAATAAGACAAGTTAGAAAGCCAGAAGGGGAGGCCTGCCATGTGTATTATTCCATTTAGTCCCCGAATGATTTGGGCAAGTGCATTTTTCCATCCTCATTTTACAGACAATGATATGAAGGCACAAGTAGGATTAGTGACTTTTCCCAGGCTCAGCCAGGATTTGAACCCAGGTTTCTCTGACTCTAAAGTGCATGTTCTCTCCACACACATTTCCAGTTCAAGGAGGCAGTGTGGTCGAGAGGGAGGGTCTGAGACTAGCCTGGCACGGTGACAAGGTTCTAATGCCCTGTCACCTGCCACCCTGGAGCACTGGGCACTTCTCCTGCCCAGCACCATCTCCAGCCAATATTCCAATATATCTTTCCATGATAAATGTGTCTTCTCTGGCTTTGAAGTTAGAGCTGCCGCAGGCTGACAACCTAGATGTGGTTTGCATCTGCAGTCACTGGTTGGGGAACTGGTTATACTGGGTGTGTATGCGTGTTTTGTTTGCGAGAGATGGAAGTAAGTAAAATGTTGGTATCTGATCATCAACCACCTTATGGTCTGAAGTATTTCACCTTCCTTGGAGCTGACAGGGTTTTAGTGTTGGCATATGTAGCTTACTTTAATGATAGAAACAGAAACAATAGCTACCATTTCTTAACCACTTACCATGTGCTAAGCAATTTACATATATTCCTACTCATTTAATCTCTTTCAAAATGTCAATGAGGGGATCTACTGTTGTCAAATCCGTTTCACAGATGAGAAAGCTGGGACTCAAAAAGGCTGAGTAACTTAGCCAAGGGCACACAGCTAGGAAGTTGCAGAGCTGGGATTAACCACCAGGCCAAGGTTCTCCCTCCCTGTGGCTGTGATGACTTGTCCGCACCTCATCCTCCTGGCCCTGAGAGTGCAACAAAACACTTCAGGCGCTGACTGTGGCCCCCACGAACAGTCCCAGCATCCAGTGAGCTGAGGGGAAGGAAAGACAGTATTGGCTCCAAAGTCTGAAACTCAAGGGAACCAGTAGAGCCCCAGCCATGACAGCTGCCCTCCAGCCTTTGGTGTGGAGGGCCGCCCACGACCGCCTCCTGAGGGCTCTGGTCCGGGGTCTGTACAGCAGCCCCGGACTGTTGCATCTTCCCTCTTTCCCCCCCAGGAACGCTTCCACAGCTGTGTACGCCTGCAGCAACCCGGTCCAGGAGACCTACTTCCAGCAGCTGGCGTCGGCAGCGCGGAGCTCTGGCTTCCCCAGTCCACAGGACAGTGCCTTCAACCTCCCGGGCAAAGCCAAGCAGAAGCTGCTGAAGCACGGGGTGAACTTGCTTTGAACTGGGCACCGTGGGGAGCTCATCACCCCAGATGACTGCTCAATGGAATGCCAGCAAAGGAAGCTGCCTTTTTAAACAGAAAAAAATCCCTCTATTTTTTCTTGACATCTTCCCTTTGTTAGAACGTAGTATTTGAGCGTTTGTACTCCTTGTGTGGATTAGGGTTCGAGAGGTCGTTCTTCAGGTTGGCAGACCTCGAACACTCTATAGGGAAGTTCCCTACACCAGCAGTGTTGGGGCCCCGACAGGCATCAGCTCCTTCCATCGAAGAGAGACAGGGCCAGCCTGCTTGTTGTGCGGAGCCTGAGGTGCCTGGCGGTTCTTCTAGAACTTAGTTGTTCCCAGTCTAGAGTGTTTGTCCAGCCCTGTCTCCAGGGAGGTGGTATGTGGAGTCTGGTAGCCAGCAGCCCGGAGTGGCCACGGGGCAGTTAGGTTTCGTTCAGGGCATCTCATGCAGGGAAGCAGTCAGGGACGCAGAAGCCGCCTTCGGTGAATTCTCCCAGAACTCTATTCAAACTAGGAGCCTGTTCTTCAGGACACCCACGGTGGGGGCAAATCTGATAGCCTGGGAGGCAGTCTGGGGTTTAGAGGTGACTAAAATCCCTGTGGTGGCGAGACCGGGAAGCGGGGTGGTGGCAGACCGGGCCGGGCAACTTGGGTTTGAGGCGGGCTGTGCACCCGGCCGCTCTTGAGTGTGCGTCACCAAGTGGGAGTCCCGAAAACTTCCGGGGCAGAGGCAGAGCCATGCCTTCAGGGGTGGCTGTGCGAAAGAGAAGGGTGTGCGCCTGTTTGTTTCTGGGCCCATATGGTGCTTAGAACAGTTAGACATTTTATGGTAATGTGATGCAGATCCCAGGATGGAAATATTTACCAAAGTCTTAACTGAATGTTTACTGGAAGTACCTGAGATTCCATTTGAAAACTGCAATGTTAATTATTTCATGCCAGTGAACAAATTATCTAATGTTTATGACATAGTATCTTTCTGGAAAGAACTTTCCAAGGGCTAAAAAAAAAAAATATAGCCAAAATGCTGCTGAGTTCTGAGTAAGGGTATCTCTCCAGTGATAAAATGAGTTAAGGTATGTTTCCTATGTTTGTGTGTGTGTATTTTGTGCAGATGCTTTTCTCTTCCTTGCTCGATCCAGGGTGGCCAGGGGAGGCTGGGTGCACTTCAGAACGGTCTGTCCGCGAGGGCGCAGGCTTCAGCCAGCTGCTCCTGTGAGCCCCAGCTTCACAGGTCTCTGTCACCCTCTCTCACCCAGCCCCTGGGGTCTCTCCTGCCGCTAGCTGGCTTAAGAGGTGACCTTCGCAGATGGAGGAGGGTCATACCTCAAGCTAGGATAAATGTGTATTGTCCAAGTTCTCTGCTACATTCTCCAAGAAAGAGTTCAGTCTTTGTGCCCGCTTCTCAAGGAACCTTCCCATGACTAACTGACACATAACATGTCAGTTCCTTTTCTGTTGTGGGGTATTTTTAAGCAGCCACATTTTTCCTTTTGCTCACCAGTGCTCCAGAATTGCAAGGTCCTCAGTCTTGAGCTCACTGAAATTACAAGTTTTTACCCCAAAAGTGAATCTTAAATGACCACATGGAGCATGAGGCCAGCATAGCATAATGTAAAGACCCACATGTGAGAGTTGTTTAAAAATATGTCCATAAATTTTTTGCTGCAAAGGAGGAACCTATTTCTCCCCACCCCACAAGCATGGGCTATACCTAGTGATTCGTTCCTAATGAGTAGAATGTGGTGAAAATGGCAGTATGACTTTTGGGACTAGGTTTTAAAGCACATTCCAGCTGCTGTCTCTCTCTTGCTCACCTGTTTTGGGGGAACTGACACTCAGGCAGCCCCATGGAGAAGCCCTCGTGGTGAGGAGCCTTCTGGGAAGCCGGTCCTCCAACCCCGGTCAAGCCTTCAGATGGTGCAGCTCCTGCCAACATCGTGACTGCAGCCCTATGAGAGGCTGAACGAGAACTTCAAGCTAAGCCACTTGTGAATTCCCAGCCCTCAGAGAGTATGTGAGATAGTAAATGCATGTTGTTTTAAGCCACTCTTTGGGGGTGACTTGTTACAGAGCCACAGATAGTTGATACGCTTGCATGCCCATATCCCACCCACCAAACTAGGTTCTTTACAGCTTGGACATGGGAGAGCAGCCTTTAGCCAAATGCTAGACAAAGCATCTGTCTTGGATCCCAGCCCCTCCTTTCCCGCCCTGGAGAACTTCCTACAAGTTCCAGAGCCTGACCTTAATTAATGGCCAGCTGGGTCCCTGCTTCCTCTCCTCTGGGCTCTGCCCTGGCCCCTCTTTCAGCATCTCCCAGGTGCCTCCAAACAGGGCACCTGCACCTGAGAGTGGGCATCCATCCACATGGTCCCCGAGCCCCACCTGGGGATGTGGCAGAAGCCCTTGGCAACAGCGAGGCTTCGCCAGCAGTCTGAGGAAACCCATCAGGTGGAGCTGGAGTCTGGGGGCATGCGGGGCATTGTTGGGAGGGTGAGAACCATTCCTTGGTCCTGGGATGCATCTTTTTGGGCTGGGGAGCAGCAGTCAGAAGGAGAAGGAGCGGGGTAAGGGGTCCGCCCCTCACCCTTTTTTCTTGTCAAATAGCCAGGGGTCAGCCTGGAGAGTGGCCTCCCTTGGTGGGCTTTTCTGCTGCTCCTGGAGCCTCTTGAACCTCTGACATGGACCGCAGGCCAGCCCTCTAGGCTCCCGGCTGTGGCCGCTGTGGCAGTTGCCTGCCAGCTCCAGCTTGTCTTCAATCAGTGTCCCCAGGACCCGACCAAAGAAGACAGCTTTGTATGTCGATTGTGCGGTCAGCCTTCTTCCCCTCTCCACTATGATGGCACTACAAATCCTGTCCCCTGGATATGGAGAGGGACCCCCTCTCATCTACCCAGGATTAATTCAGAAAAGCTACAGTCTGGAGACATGTCCCGGCTTCCCTGGTGCTGCTGAGCTCCTGCGTTGGAGCTGTGCTCCGTGACCTCAGAGGCAGCCCGCTGGGGACTGTGGCCAGAGGCGGCTGGAGAAGCGACGCTCAACCCCTCCTTTTCCTGTCTGGTACTTCAGAGGTTCCAGGGCCTGTCGGGACATCGTTTAATGACAGTCTCAGGCCCACACCCTCACAGTAAGCCTCTCGGTGCCTGGTTCCGAGCATGGGCTCTTCTGTGGAGCAAGCTGCACGCCCTCACGGCAGGGCTCCCAAGGGATGATGAAGTTTGTGGGACAGTGTGCCCTGCCACGGTGTACAGTTGACGCCAGAGTTCCCCTGTCATCCAGAACACCAGCCTCCTGAGCAGGGAACCCAGGAGGGAGAGGGAGTGAAAGCTGTTCCGGGTCAGCCCCTGCCTAGGGCTCACAGTCCACCTGGGTGACCTCCCCCTGGAGTGGTTAATAGCGGCAATCAGATTCCTGCTGGGGAAGGACTATTCCCTAGGGACATGACTGAGCCTAATCAAACTGCCTCCCCCTGGAGGGAAGCACCTGGACGCATCTGCTCCTGTCACCTTGACAGCCGTGGTGAGTAGAGACTGGGTATGGCGGCGGCCACCCTCTCCGTGGTCTCTCCCGAGTGTGTCACCCCCTTGGTGGTCCTTCCCAGGGCAGCCGCGCCGCCACCCCCACGCCCCTCCAGTTACTGTGACCCTAACATCCCACCCTGCAGCGAGTAGTGATGTGCCCTCCACTGTGTGAGCCTTGGGGCCCGTGTGGTGGGCCGAGTGGGGGCCACCAAAGGCATCAGGTCCCAATCCCTGGGACCTGTGGTACCTTATATGCTGAAGGTTTTCACAGGTGTGATTGAGCTGAAGCTCCTGACATGCAAAGATCTTCCTAGATTATCCAAATGGGCCCTAAATGCCATCACAAGTGTGCTTGTCAGAGAGGATAAGGCCATGTGAAGACAGGCCGAGACTGGAGGGATGTGGACACACGCCGAGGAACACTGGGGGCCACTAGATGCCCAGAGTCAGGGATGGGTTCCGCCCTAGAACCTCTGGAGGGAGTGTGACATTGATTTAGGTCCAGTAAGGCTTATTTTGGATGTCCTGCCTCCAGAAATGTGAGCCAATAGAGTTGGGTTGTTTTTAGTCACCGAGTGTGAGATCGTTTACAGCAGCCACAGGAAGCCAGTTGCCCACCCTGCAAAGTTGCCGTGTTCACCCAACTGGTGACCCGGGTCCTCCGCTGTCCCCAGTGTGTGCTGCCGAGTAAGGAGAGCTGGGGCCACCAGGAGGTGCCTGAGGTCGCCAGGCTCTGGGCAAAGGGGAGCCTCTCAGCAGGGAGGGACTCGGTCTGGTTCTCATTACCAGAGCCACTGGCTCCTGAACGGATGATGGCCGTGGCAAGACTGGAAACGGTTAGGAAGCTGGTTGTCCAGGTCGGAGGGGCTAGTCGCCTGCGGCAGGGAGGTGACAGGGCAACAGAGAAGCAGGCAGATGTGTTTTAAGAATGCCTAGGAGATCAGAGTTGTAATGCCTGCATTTGGCAGTGGATTGGGTTTGGGGGCAGATGGAGGAAGCAACCAGGGAACCCCAGCTCTTAAGGCGCTCCCGGAGGGTGTAAGCAGGAAACAGGTGGTTGATACTGTTGAACGGTGTGCAGTACCAGCGTGTTCACCCTTCCCACCATACACACTCCTGGGTCACCCTTTAAGTACTGACCTGTCCTGGGAAAAGGGCAGCAGGAGGGAGAAGTCCCCCGCCCCCCACTGGCCCCTTCTGGAAGGAGACTGGAGAGGGCAGGGTGTAAGACCAGCACTTGTCATCCTAGCTTAGAAGAAAGTGCTAGCAAATTCAACATATTCGTTGAATTTGGGGAGTTTAGGGGGAAGGTTCTGAAGGGCTTCAAGGGTGAAAAAAGGATACTTCATCTCTTTATTTTAAATGTCTGAACCTGTCATCAGCTGTTTTCTCCTGGGAATAAAACCCAGAGTGGCTTTTGAATCCCGCCAAGAGCCAGCAAGAGGCCATTTCCTGATTGTCTCTGTGTGCTCAGGTCTGAGTGGAGTGCAGCCCGCTGCCTTCCTCCTCGGCGGGACCCCACGCGCCCAGGGAGGGGCTGGGAGTCCCCGCCATCAGACCTAGTCAGGCCCCGTGAGCACAGGAGGGTGAGAACTGGAAAAAGGCACTGGGCGTGTCATTCCTCTCCAAGCAGCCCCGACTGGTGCCCGCCATGGGCTCTGGTGTCAGAGACCTGGCACAAACCACAGCTCCAGGACTGAGTGCCATGGACATTGAGCCAAGGTACTTCACTTCTCTGGACCTCAGTGTCTTTGAAATGGAGAGGAAGATGTAATGTATGTAAAGGTGTGGCATCTTGTGGACTTTCAGAAAGTGGGGTCCAGCGTGAGAGTCCTGAGAAGCCTCCCCAGGGGGGCCCTGTGTGGGCTGTGGATAGTGAGGCCTGAACACAGGTCTGGAGTTCAGAGGACTGCTGAGTCTGAGGCTGGGATACTGGGCTTCGAATTCCAGCTTGTCCTCCAGCCAACCACATGTTCACATCCACTGCCCTCTCTGCCCCTACGTTTTCTCGTTAAACATGCATCACATCTTTGCTTACCTCAGTGTGGCCACAAGTATCGGTTAGTCAAGTATGGGAAGGAATCTTCTGGAGTGCACAGGGCTCTCTCTAGGACAATCCTCTCACCTTGGATTGGGGGGAGTGCCTACACCCGGAAGTAGGGAAATATGGGGAATCATAGTAGGTGATCAGAAATTAGGACCAATGTGTATGCCTGGGAAGGAAGCAGAAAGCGTATCACCCTGTGTGTGTTGCCTGCCTCCTGCCACCCAGTGCTATGATCTGCTTGAGTAGTGTCACTGCCGTCTGTCAGCAGCTCTGAAATATACGGCCTTATTCTGTCCTCTTCCCTGTATTTATACCTAGTTAGCAAGGTTTGGCAGGGAGGTGAATCTTCAGGGGTGGTTGCTGGCAGCAGGCCATATATGGTTCTTTAAAACTGCATTTTGTCCTTAGCCTTTGCTTCTTACATTTACATAAAAAAAAAAAAACTTGTATGGGGCACCTCCTGTCCACCCAGCACTTGACATAATACTGTCTCACTCAGACCTCACTTTAAGCTTATCACAGTAGGCATAGGCCATCTTATAGATGATACTCAGAGAGTGTATTAGGAGTTTTTGGTGCCAAGAGATGGAATCCACAACTCAAATCTGGCTTAAGAGTAAAAAAGGGAGTTCAGTGGCTCATGTACCTGCAAAGCTCGGTGGGAGGTCAGGTTCCAGGCTAAGCTATTTTCAGGTCTCAGATCATCTCCACAGGGCGGGACCTGCTTTCCCGTTTCACTCTCTGACTTCCTTTACAGAGCTCCCCACCCCACCCCACCCCACCCCACCCCACTCCACAGGAACTGGCCTTTCCTAGTGGTCCCAGAAAGAGAATTTGGATCATGTGCCCAGCCATGACCCAATCCTTACATGCCCAGAAGTTTGGAAGACTCTGACAGGCCAGTTGTGTCATGTACCCCAGCCCTGACCCAATCCCCCTGCCCAAGAGCTTGGAAGGCTCTGTTTAGTCAGGTTGGACGATGAGCCCAGCCCTGCAGGTGGGTTCAGGTCCGGGAAACCCAAAGACTGAGAATGGCATGTTCTGTTCCTAAAGAGCCCATTAGGACACTGCTGGGGGAGAGTGTTTACGATGGTGGCGGTCCTAGACCAGGTTAGGTGGCCTGACTGGCATTACATGGTGGGCACAGCGCAGATGTCAGCCTGAGGCTGGCTTTCAAAGGCCTGCCATTCTTGCTACTCAGGGCTCAACCCTCAGCCCCAGTACACATTACAATCAGGGCTAGAAACAAAGTAAATTATGAGACCCGGTCCACACCCTGAACAAAATTAGATGTTGTAGCTAACGTGGAGTGTGGGCATCAGTATTTCTCAAAAGCTCCCGAAGTGATTGTATTGTGCAGCCCGAATCAAGAACCAGTGAATCAGGCTGGCCCTCCACCCCCTCACTGTATGCCGTAGGTCACTCAACGTTGCAAGCGCAACCACTGTCAAAGGAGGGCTCAGAGTGCAGACAACCAGGTGAGTCTGGGGGAGGATGAGCCGCGGCCTGCGGGACCTGGGGTGTGGCCGTGGGCAGCCTGACCTTGCAGCTGACGCAGGCTATCTGGCGGGGGAGGCAGGGCTCCTCACGCGAAGCCAGGAGGGTATGCTGGCTCCCGGTTCTCTCCTTCAGCATTGCTAGCTGTAGCATGTACATTACTTTAGCAGTTGCCTAATTGGTGGTGCACACTTTACAAGAGTGAGAAACACCCGGCCTGGGGCGAGTGGCACTCTTCCTCACCGCCTGCCGTGGCAGCCCAGCCAGGACCCTGGGCTGGAAGCAGGCTTGCTGTGGAAACAGCGGGCACCCAAGCCACCAGCATCCCCTGTTCCTCTTCTAAGACAAAGGGAAAACATCTCAAAAGGTAGCTACTGAGGGACCTTCTTTTGTCCTGTAGTCAGAGACAGACAAGGGGAAGGAGCCACTGGCCACCTCTGCCACTGATTTAATGTATTTGTCCATCTCTTCCTTAACCTGCTTTGCAACTGTTTAGCACCTCTGCGTGGCAGAAGAGGAGCCGACGCTGTTGCTGCACGTGCCGGGCGCTGCCTCTACAGCAGAGCAAACTGAGGCTCCCAGAGGCTCTGTGACCTGCCCGAGGGCTCACGGGAGCCAGCCCCTGGCACTGAGTCCCGACTCAGCTTGCTGAGGCCCCAGTCTTCGGTCTCTGCCCAGTGAGAGCCTACAGCTCCTTAACAATCCGCGGCCCGTCTCCTGCTCCCCCACCCCACACCCCTTGTTTCAGAACTGTGTTTGGCTTCACTACACACGACTGCTTATGGAGTCCTGCTTGCCTCCGTGACACAAGCCAAAAACCAAGAGCCTCCATCTCATACGTGTGTCCCTTCCAGGGCTTCTGTCTGTGCCACATCTTCTTCCCAACAGTCCACTTGGCCACTTCACTCTGGTTTTCAGCAAGATCCTTTATTTATTTGTCTCCTGTTTCCCCCACTGCGTCCATGAGTACAGGTAGCCAGGTACCTCTACGGGCTGCTGGCTTTGTAAACGTGGAGTGGTCAGTGTGTACAGAAATCATGCACCTCAGTGATTCTTTAACAAGATACTCAGTGAGCAAAAAGACTTCAGGTGGGTTTGAGATTTCTACCCTTTGCTGCATTCTCATCGCTGAAAAATACCTGTGTAGAAATTTTGCTCACATGTAGACCCGTTTTCCTTTGCAGACTGGCTAGTGCCTGCTAGTGCGTCTCACGCTGTGTCTACTCCTGTGGGTGCTTCCTCACAGAGGCTGCTGCCTTCCACTCGGATACAAACGCTGGACCTGTACGTGTGACGTGCTGGACACTCACACTGCCCCATGGCTTTAGAAATCCGACATTGCTCAGGACACATCTGAGACAAGCATCTCTAGTATGGCTGGAGGCTCCTCTCTCACACATAGGCTAACAGGAGGCTGCTTCTAGAATTAGTGCCTCGAACCAGCCACATCCCTCACAGGAGACCGGAAAGCCAGCACTGTGCCGGGGGTCCTCTGGGCTGGCCAGCCCCGGCGCTGGCACTCATGGACAGCCTCCTGCAACGACACACACAGGACTGGCTCCTCCACCATCTCTGAGTCCCCTGCTTGAGCATTTATGTACAAATAAACACAAAGTCATAAGCAACAGAACCCCAAAGCAAAATGGACACTTTGGTCAGATCTACAATCCAAGTTTTGGCCAGAGACAGGCTCTCCCAGGAATCACCTGGTGAGGCCCCATCCCACCACAGCTCCTCCTGTCAGCCAGCCTGGCGGTCTCGACGTTCATCACCGTGGATGCGAAACAGCTCACCGGGGAATATTCCAGGCCCGGTTTGGCAGTAGGACTTCTGTAGGCAGTGAGGTAAGTGAATCGCATGTTCTGCGACTGACCCGTGGGAGCCCCAGCTCGGCTCCTGAGGACACTAGCCTCAGCTTTGAAGGATGGCAGTGTTTACAGAAGAGCCTCCAGTCCCACCAGCCAAATGCTCATCGCCCTCAGGAACCTGCCAGGGTGTAGGGGGAGGTGAGCAGTGGGGACAAGTCCCCCAAGGCCCTGACACTGGGTGCTGGGTGCTGCCCCTGCCTGCGTCCATCCTGCCAAGGAAGTCGGCCGGGTGCGGGGATGGTGGCCGTCCCCTGCCCTGAGGTGGCTGAAGGGTCCCCCTGTTGGACTGTGACAACAGTGGAGACCAAGCTCTCCAGCTCTCTGGTTTGCAGTTTTTTGTATTTGTTTTTCTCTTTTAAAAGGAGTTGCATGTTACCACGTTCAGACAAATAACCATTTGGTTACTCAATTTCAGAGCACTGAAAAGACCAGGTAGCAACCTGACGCAGACAATGGGGGGCACCGGGCCTCTGGTCGCCGAGCCAAGGAATGCGTTATCAGGCAGGAAGGAACTGCGGAAGCAAATGACGGGAAGGGAAAAGAAAAATCTAAGGAAATACAAGCTGAAATTTTCCCGTTTACAATAACCAAAGGGAAGAGGGACTCAATGTGATAGAAAAATCCCGAATGAGAGCTTTCTGCTGAGGCAGGTCTCTGGACATGGAGTCTGGGTCTGGACTGTACCCATCTTCCCTGGCTGGCCCACGGCCCCTCTTGCCGACTGCAGCATGGGAAAAGGTTGTCATCGTCCCGGAGCAAAGATGAAATCCAGGGCCTGCCGTTCAGCTGCTGCCACATTTGGATGCCACAGATCCACCATGAAAACCACCCGTGGGCCATCCTCTGCTGAACCTGGGAAGGGGAGCACGAGAGGACAGGTCTGAGCCACCCCAGAGCCAGGATCACGCAGGGCTGGACACCACGTGGTTAGCTTCTGTCCCTTGGCACAGATGGGAATCAAGAATGTTATCATGATTTCATTATGATTCTGAGCAGAGTGCGTAAAAGGAACTGGGTGGCAGTGGGGTGGGGTGGTGGCGAATGAGGAGGGGGCCAAGCCCGGTGGGATCTGCCCCAGTACCCACTTAGGGCAGTGAAGCAGATTCCATATGATCCTGTGATGGTGGATACATGACTTTACATATTCGTCAAAATCAACAGAATGTACTCCACCAACGTGAACCCTAATGTAATGTATGGTCTCTAGTTAATAATAACGCGTCAGTATGGCTCATCAATTAGAACAAATGTACCACTCTAATGCAAGACGTTAATGAAAGGGGAAATTGTGTGTGGAGGTGATGTGCACTTTCTGCTCCGTTTCTCTGGAAACCTAAAACTCCTCTAAAGAAGAAAGTCTGTAATTTAAACCAAAAAGGCGGCGAAGGGGAAGGCTGACACTCACCTTCGTGGAATGCAGTATGCAGGAAAGAGTCGTCAAAGAGGAGGCAGCGGCCTTCTGCCCAACACTGGGGCTCCCCCCCGACCACCAGCTCACAACCACCTGGCGTTTTCAGACCTTGGGGGGAAAGCAGAGGGAGGAGTAAAGGCAGGCAGGACCAGGGAGGGTCGGAGGTCAGGGGACGGCCTGCTTTGGTGAGAGTCCCAGGCGTCCCAAGCACCCAACCTTCTGCCTCATCCAGCCGGCACCATGTCTGGGGGTGGGGGGTAGTTGGGTAGGGCAAATACAGGCTGTGCACCCCCAATCCTCAGTGGCCCCTTGGAAAAACTCATTCCTCCCCTGGCTTGGTCTGTTCTGGGTCATGAGCCCCTCTGACCGAAGCACAGACCAGGGCCTGCATTATGCTTTTGAGACTCCTGACCCAGCCAGGGGACCCCTGGAAACTGAGGGAGGCCAGGATCGGAAGCCAGCCTTGCCCAGTCACTGTGTTTACTGTGATCCCGTCTCTGGGGCCACTGAGACTAAAGACGCAAAGGCCATCACTAAAGACGCCTTCCTCTTTGGGTCCCAACCTTGAAGCCCACTTTGAGACATGAGGGTGGCATGTTCTTAATTAGACCCCCCAGCCGCCCCCTAGGAAACACGGCGGCCCTAAAGAAATGCCTGAGCTTCAAGAGAACAGATCTCACAGGGAGCCATCTGCTTGCAGCGCAGGTGGGGAGTCCCAGGCTTGGCTGCATAACCCTGGGGAGGGGGGGCAGATGACATGCCGCCACATGTAAACGTCCACGTCCCCACCTCCCACCCAAGAGTCTGAAGAAACACTTGGCCCCCATCGCTCCCTAACACCCGCAGTGAGGGCACTGCACAGCCATCTCCCAGAGTTGAAGGGGCTGCGTCAGCTGATGACTCTCAGGAAGGCCTGCCCTGGGAGGGGCCCCTGGACAGGGGGCTGGGGTCCTGGTGCTCTCGTCTGCCTTCAGTGACCCACTGTGACAGCTAAGACCCGAGGCCCATCGGCATCCCCCCAGTTTAATCCTTATGACAAACACACAACAGCTTTCTCTCTCTGACAGCCAGCGTGTCTTGACGCACCCCTTGAACCAGAGGTGGATGCTCCAAGGAGCACAGGTGTTGTAAGACTTCATACAAAGAGGCCACATGGAGGAGGGGAAGGACAGAGGTCTAGGGGTAAGATGCCTGGCTCTGACCTATGTGCTGTGTGACTTTGGGCAGGTCATTTCACTGACTCAGCTCAGCCCACTTAACCTCTCTGAGCTTCTTTGTCTGTAAAGGAGGGACATTGGCATACTTACTTTCCAGGGCTATGTGACTGCTGTCCTTGCAACCAATAATTAAAAACTTCCTGTGCACAGATTTGCGCCAAAAAGCACTTTATAGACATCACTTCACCCACTTTACAGATGGAGCAACTGAGACTGAGAGAAGTTAGGTGACCTACAGAATCACTATTTAGCCTGTGCAAAAGCTGAGATTCAAATTCAAATTCAAGTCTGGCTCCAAACAACAGGCCCTTAGACCCCTGGGCAATATGATACAAATGCTACTTATTCCACTGGTGGGATTAAAGCGATTGTCCACTTTCCTGTAGTTAATATTCAACTCCCAGTAGTGCATTTCAATGACTCAGCTGAGCCCATCCATCTGGAATCCAGGCCACATTCTCCTGCCATGTTCACACCTGCAGAGTTGAGCCAGCCACTCCTGCCCGGATGGAAAGAGCCCACAGGCCACGTACTCCTCAGTGGCTGGTGCTGGCAGAGAAGACCTTCGGGGATAGGTGGTTCTCTGCAGGGACAGTCCATCTCAGGGTTTCAGAAAGCAGCTCTCCTTTCTCCGGGTCACTGAATGATTTCATGGCCAAGTGCCATGGCACAACAGAAAAATGGCCTGGCTTGCTGGCTTAACAGCCCCTTGCTTATTCTCCTCTGCCTCCCCCTTCATTCTGTTCCAGCCTTCCAGTGACCCACCACTCCTCCTACTGCCCACAGCCCAGCTTAGCATAAATGGCCAATACTCCCCCGAAACACAGTGCCTGTGTGGCTCTTGGGTGTAGAGATGTAGAGACAGGCCTCACCCATGGCCCTAGCCAGTCCCATGTCCCCAGTCCATATCCTCTGGCTTAGGGCTTTCTGTTCTGTCCCCACCAACCCACTGCAGGAGGCAGGAGAAGGGGGAGAGAAAGCTCTGTCCCTTCAGGAGGCTGGCAGCTGGCACTTAGGGTGGGCAAGGCAAACACAAGCTGATCCGCTGCTGCCACCCAACTAGATGGCCAAGAAATCCAGCATCATATGCACGAACCGGAAAGGCGTCTGCTTGTGCCGAGTCAGAGCGAGTCCCCTGAATACACTCCTGCATTTGCACCCACCCTCGCCCGAGGCTGGCCATCTGCCTTCCCAGTGACATCTGCCTGCTGAGCGTCAGAGGTGGTCTAAAGGCTTGTGGCAGTGCAGTGGGGACGTCCACCCTGTACACAATGCTGGGTATCGCGTGGTTCCGCAGGGAGTCCATGCTGGGTGACGTCACCGCCAGAGGTAGCTCAGAGCGGCGTCACCTAACAAATGGGTGGAGGGAATGCAGAACAGTGACTGGGGTTTCAATTGTCTGGGGACAGTTCTGCCAATGACAACTCAGATTGAAGGCAGACAAAGAGGACAAAGGTCGGCATTTCAAGAGCTCAGATCTGACCTACAGGTGCCTCCACTTCAGCCAGGTAGCAGCAGGTGTGGCCACCAGCAGTCCCAGGCTCACTCTGCCTCTGACCTCACCCTCTGCAGTTCCTCTCTGTCAACACACAAGGTCACATGACTCGAACATGCCTTTGTTTCCTTCCTGAGTGGATGGTCACGTGGGCATGAGAGTGGAGAGGGAAATGCTGAGCCCACCCAGCCACAGCCTGCCCTGGCCACAGGGAGTGAGCCACACTTGAGCAGGCCATGTGCCAAAGTTTCCTGCTGCCCAGGGAACACGACATGGCCCTGTTCTGGTGGCAGGTAACTAGCGGGGCTGAGAAGGGAATGACAGGTCAGGAAGAGGGCCCGTGTGGGCATGTTTCACACACACACACGCCCACACTCATGTTGCCCAGAGGCACGACAGCATTAATACACAGGAGTTTCCTAGGTTTCCTGGGACCCTGGGTTTCCTGCCACCAGCCTTTCCGACTCAACACATCCGCCTGGAACTCCACCTCTTCAGTCCTCAACCATTCTTCCCTCAAATTCTGAACCTTTAGAAAAATATACAAGGAAAAACTTCAAAATGAAAAGCATTGCTCCTCACTGCCCGCAGCCTCAATTCCGAAGCCTGGCTGGGAGTCCCGGCTGCATTTTGCTCCCACCCGACCTGTCCAGCCCACCTGGACCCCACCTGTCCAGTAGAGCCCAGACATGGCGTCCCCCGAAGGCTCCTCCTCCATTCCGCACTGGGGTCCCAGCCGTCCCTCAGGGGCACTGCATGTCCCCGGAGCAGCCCACCTGCAGCCCCCACGCTGTCCTCTGATGTCAGAGCGCCCTGCAGCCTGGCACAGCGATTTTATTGATCACGGTCATGACCTGGATGGTCACCTCACCTCTCAGATGGATCAGATCCCCTCCACCTGGCTACCTCTACCTGCCAGTCCTTTACACAGAGTACATCTGATCCTCTGAAAGGCCGTCCAGTGAGGCAGCACTACCTCCATTTTAAGGGAGAGAAAACAGAGGCCCGCAGAGTGTCAGGATCCTGCCCAAGGTCATTCAGCAAGTGAGGCTGACAGACTGAGTCCAAGTGTGCTCGGAGAGCCTGGTCATTTTCCACTGTTTTCTGAGGGCAGAGACCACATCTTATGGAGGCTTTTTCACACCACCCAACACGATCTTTGTCACAAAAGCTACTAGCTACCATTTATTGGATGGCCATGTGCCGAGTACCATAGAAGAACCCTCTTAACAATCCTCTCCATTTTATAGATGAGGAAACTGAGGCAGGGAGAGACTCAGTTACTTGCCCAAGGTCCCACAGCTGACCGTGAATGCAGGATACCTCTGCAGCCGCCACCCTGTCCTGCCTTTACTCTCAAAATACTGTGTCAACGGCTCAAGTCTAGTTCTTCGTATTTTAAAGCAGGGAGGTCCTCTGTTCAAAGCACATTTTACTCAGAATTGCTACACAGAGCAGGGAAAAGCAGAGGGTTCTGGGTGAAGAGGGGCTGGGAGGCCCAGGGCATTCAGCTCAGGTCTCCCTGGCAGCCTGAGGGTCCGTCCTCTGTGGGACCCAGCTATGAGGCCCCACTCCAGCCTGTCTCGGGGGCTCCTCTGCATACTTCTCCCTCCACTCTGTAACCACGGTGGCCAGTGCTACAGCTTCCTCCGGCTGGGCCGTGCTGAGGCCCTCCGCGTGCTCCTCTAGTCGGGGGCACTAAACGGTGGTGCCGTCACCTCGGTAACCAATCTGTTTTCACAGCTCATCAGGAACAAGGCCTTCTGGGGAACTAATACCCCTGTTTACCAAACTGTTTTTAAGCCTACCTCTGTTGAGCCTTTCTCACTCTATTTGGGCTCTGTGCAAATAAACGCTTTACAATACACATCGTCTTATTAGATCCTCAAAGTAACTCTGTAGAGGATGATCTTTTCACCTCCACTTTCCAAATGAGGAAACTGAGGCCCAGAGAGGGGAAGATCTTGCCCAGAGTAACACAGCTAGCCAGTGGTGGGAGCAGGATGCAAACACAGGCCATTGGACCCCAAACCTGTTTTGCAAACCACTGCTATACCCAATACATGTATTACCAACTTCCCAGGAAGCTGAATAAAATCAACTTAACACCAAACATCACGTCATCCCAGATTCTTCAGAAAGCACTGAGGTATCTCTCCTGGCCTCCTGGGTGTCATTATTAACCTCAGGAATCACAGTCTTTGGCTCTAGAGCTACACTGTCCAATACAGTAGCCACTAGCCAAGTGTGGCTAGTTAGATTAAGAATTGAGTTTTATAGTTGCACCAGCCACATTTCAAGCAGGCAACAGTCACATGTGACTACTGGATCGGACAGTGCAGATGGAGACCAATTCTGTCCCCACAGAAAGTTCCTTTGGATAGAGCTCTGGTCTGGAATTAGGTTTACACTGATCACAAGTTTCTGTTTTGACTCCATCTCTGCTGTCAAACTGTTTACATGGGAGAAGCACTGAGCTTGCATGATGTCTGGTTTCCCATAAGTCAGACAGGCTGTGCTCAGAAGGGTACATGCCGGGAGACCCCATCCCTGCAACGTACCTAAATGGCATCGGATGCGGATGTTGGTGGGTCCATAGTGCTCCGTTATCACCGTCCCAGGGCTCAGCACGGAGATGCATGCGTTTCCAAAAACATTGTTCCCAATACAGGTCCGAAGGCTTCCAAGCAAGCGGTACGTCCGTGGGCACTTCCTGCAGTTCCTGGGGACACAGACCCCCTGATTGACCAAGTAAAAGGTGACCCACTCCCCGCTGGGGGTGCTGTTCATTTTCCATCCTTGCGGGAGGCTGCAGTTTGAGAAAGCTTTGTAGAGGGTCTCAAACTCACACAGGACGGTCTGGAAGTTCCGTTCCAGCAGCTCCACATCATGCTTCTGTGCGTCCCGGGAGAAATAGGGCGTAGTGGGGAGGTCGGGCAGGAAGAAGACCTCGGGCTTCTGGATGGAGGGCCGGCTGTTGAGGTAGCGGCCCTGCTCGCGGATGCCCTTGTGGATGCGGCCCATGCCAGACCAGGAGTAGCGCTTGGCATACTCCTGCAAGTTGTGGTAGAGTTTCTGGTTGAGGCCCTCGTTGTGGGTGCAGCGCACGCACTCAGGGGACTGGCAGTACACGTACCCATTCTGCAGCCCGCTGGCATCCGAGCCCTGCATAAGGGCGTTGACCGAGGCGTAGGGCCGGGGCTGCTCCCTGCCCACGTGATAGCAGTACCATACAAACAGGACCAGCAGGCAGGCCACGGTGACTACAGCAGTGGTATCACAGTCCCGCACAGACTGGATGCCTGTGGCGATGCAGTCCCTCAGGCCGTCCAGCGACCAGCTCCAGGCCACCAGCCACGGGAGCGACATTGTGGGGAGTTGTTGCTGAGCGTGTGAAGCAAGGTTGGACAGTCAGTCCTCTGGGGACCCCAGGGCACCCACACCATTCAGATCAGTGCGGGAGGGAAGGGGCAGCTGGCACAGGGGGAGGCATGGCTGCCACTGTTCCTTGGGTCCTGCCCAGGGGTAGCACTGACCTACGCCCGGGCCCACGGTTCTGCTCCAGGCACAAGTCACCACGGGGCAGGTGAGAGGCGCTGCCTGATGTCACGTGAGCACGTGGGCTGGGAGCCAGGAGGCCAGCTTCCGGAAGTCCAAACCTGGGCATAAGAACAAACCAACCAGCATAAATGTTTACACCTGGAAAAGTCTTCAAGTGAACTGTAAGTCTCAGATCGTTTTGTCGGCAAGGGACCCCACTTCTCAATCTTGTGTACTCTCTCCCCATTTTATGAGCCAGTAGTATTTACTCTGCATCAGATACTGTTTGATAATTACAGTAGTCCCATCTAGATCTTCCTTGGCTTAAATGGGGTTATGTCCTGGTAAACCCATTGTAAGTTGAAAATACCATTAAGTCAAAAATGCATTTAATACACCTAACATACCAGACATCACAGCTTAGCCTAGCCTACCTTCAATATGTTCAACATGCTTACACTAGCCAAAGTTGGGCAAAATCATCTAACACATAGCCTAACACATATTTCAAAAGGAAGTGTTGAACGTCTCACGTAATTCACTGAATACGGTACAGAAAACGAAGACCAGACTGGCTGTTGGGTACAGAATGGCTGTCAGCGTCTCAGTTGCCCTGTGATCACGCGGCTGAGTGGGAGCTGCAGCTCTCTGTGCTCTCCGCGCTGCCCAGCATTGCGAGAGAGTATCATCAAATTGCTAGTCTGGGAAAAGATCAAAACCCCAAATTCGAAGTAGGGTTTTTACTGAATGCCTACTGCTTTCACACCATCACAAAGCAGAAAAACCCTCAGCTGAACCATTGTAAATTGTGGACAGTCTGCATTTTGTGTCATCCTTAGGAAGTGCTATTATTCCCATTTACAGATGAGGAAACTGAGGCTCAGAGAGGTCATATAACTCACCCAAGTTCACAGAGCCAGTGCAGGGACACAGACCCCATCTGACCAAAGCCAGTATCCACCCATTTGCAATACTCTTTCACAGTAGGTATTTAATAAGTGCTTATTCGCCTTAAATCTCTGCACCATTAATTAAAGAGAAACCTGGGTTTCAAAGGCTTTGAAAAATGGCAAAGGAACTTTAAAACTGCATGTTCTCCATTTCCATTTCTCTTTTTGCAGCACTTTGTCATTCTTATTTAATCTCTCTTGCCCTTCTGACAGGGGTTGAGCTTAAATCAAGCTGGAAAAGGAAATGGACTCTCTGGGGTCACACCCGTGCCAGACACAGGGCATTTTCTGTCTACCCGCCTGGGAGATAACTACTGGCCTCACCCATGGGGTTATGAAATGATGGGACAGAATGTTAAGAGAAGCCCTGTCAGGTCTCTGATGGTATCCAAAAGAGAAGTGCTTTGCCACACACCTTGCCAATGGTTAGGACCAGTGTCTAGCACCCTGATTACCCTAATAACATAAAAGTATGATCAGAGTCCAGCTGCCATGTCACCTGTGCCTGTAAAACCTCAGCCATGTTTCCCAGCTGAGCCCTTTGTCCATTCTGCTTTTTCTAATCTGGTGAGAACAGCCAAGTCTGGTGCTACTCCAAATTAAATACACTCTGCATCTCAAGGAGCAGAATAATTCAGAAAATGCGTTTCACGCTCAGCCTTCTCTCTCTCTCTCTCTCTCTCTCTCTCTCAGGAATATGAGACAGTGACTCAGAAAGGGGGAAAGCCGTCCCCTCCTCTTTCTCAGGGGACTACATTTGGCCTGAAGTTCTTGCAATAGTAGCAGAGGGGTTAAGAAGCCAAACCGGGCATAGGCTGGATGGAGCATTAATGCCAACCCTGGGCAGGTCACTTCCCCTCTCTAAATCTCAGTTTCCTTGTCTATAAGACAGGGTAACGTTCAGCTCACTGGACGAAGGTCAGTGATGACAGATGTAAAGCTGTCACGATGTCACGAGCGTTCAGTGTGTGCTGGTGGCTGCTGTGACATGCGGCCCCCATCTCCATCAGCCAGCAAACCAAAGGTGGGACATTAGGCAAAGTTATCTCAGGGCTAAGAATTCCAGCAGCTAAAGGCAAATTCTGGATGCTCTTGTGCCCCACATTTCAAGTTATTTTATTTTTTTGTCACCAGACTTGCAAAGCTAAAAATCAAAGGGAAACCTTAGGTGCTCATTAACGGCCTATTTGCATCTTCCCAGTTTAGGATGAATAAAAGAATCACTTGACAGAATGTTTTAGTAAGTCAAAAACACACATACTGAATATTCATGGGCATTTTTTATGTTTCTAGGAAAAATACAAGAGTGGAGAAGTTAGAAGTTAAGTTTTTTTTACACTTTTTCAATGTCTTCACAGATTCGGGGGAAGAGGGGAAAGGCTGGCTGGGCCCACTGGATGGGAACAGACCCCCACCCCCACCACCACCAATACCCCTGGTTCCCTCCTAGAACAAGCAGCCACTTCCTCTTGAGGGAAAGTGAAAGGAAATCCGGATGAAACGCGTTTTGTTTGCAAGCCTTCTTCCAAACCCCAGGATTCCTGAAATTCAGTGTGAAACCATCTTGTGCGTGATAACAAGCACTTTTAGTACTAAAAGGATTTCCCCCACCCCTGAGCTAAACTCCTAATTGGAACTTTTCAACTCAAGTCTCCAGGAGGAGAGAGGTTTCTCTTAAATGTTCTGAGTGAGGAGGTGATAATTTAACAAGTACCTGTTCAGTGTTAGTCCCCATCAGCCCTGCTAATCAGTGCAGTTTAAGTCAATCAAAATGAAGGCAGGGAAGACAGGGTAGATGATGAGGGAAATCTCTCCACTGGACACCCCTGCCACTTAAGCCTCCTCGGGGGAGCCTCATTCTGCATGTACAATGCCAGCCATAAATGCTCCCTAGGCTGAGCTATAAACAAAAGGCAGCCAACGATCCTGATGCCCTGAACCCCGGCTTCAGACACTGTTCACAAGATTATAAACAGCACTTAGAGCTAGAGATAGGATTTGTCATGCCCGTCAGTGACTAAATTGGCCAAAATATCAGCAAGTCCCTGAGCCCAGAGGTAGATTAACAACCTCACAGCTGAAATGGGACGCCCTAGGAAACCCTAACCTTTACGGGGTGATTGGCAGCTTATTAAGTACGGGTTTAAACATCTGGCCCTCATACCACCTAGCGACAACCCCTATCAGTCCCAGTGGGAGGGGTATGGAGTCTCCCTGCTTCCCCCAATCCTGTCTCCAGGACCACAGCGACTTCCAGCTTCCTTCACACATCTGTTCCATTTGTATCTGTTTCATTTCTGTCCTCATTAGGGATGGGGACATCTCATTGCAGTTCTGCAGATCAGTAAGGTGCAACTCGGAGATCTTAAAAGTCACTTGGCTCCGGGGAAGAGGGTCCAAATTCATGGCCAAACGAGTGAGCAAGACCAGTCAAAGGTAATTTCTGATGAAATGAACACCTGGGGTACAAACTCACATCTCTAACCTGGTTAATCCAGTTCACATTACCAGTCCAAGAGGCTGCCCAATGTTACAGAGATTCTGGTCACTCAAGGGGCGGCCAGGCTACCCTAGAAGCCCTCCAAGGGGCAGGGCAGTACTGGGCAAATGTTTGATGCATGCCACCCTCTCCACCCAGGCGCCAGTGCTGCCAGTTCCCGTGGGGGGAAGTGGACACCTTTCCTCCTGACTTTCTTGTCCAGCTTTTTCAGCACCAACCCACTCTGGCGAGTTGGGGAAAAAGCGGAGGGCAAAAGATAGGTTAACCTATCAATAGCCTAACAGATGGTGACCACCAGGTGGTCGGAGGAGGAGGGGGATGGGACGATGGAAAGGTGAATACTGATAGAAAAAGTGGTGATCGACTGAAGATTAGGGAAGGCTGCTTATGGTGATAACTCACGGGACAAGGGAGGAGGGTCACCAAGGGAAATACGGGAAGCGGGTGATGCTCAGGACTAGGGGAAGGGGGAGAGCAAGCAAGGAAAGGCACCAAGGAAGAGGGTGATGGGGCGGGCGCGGGCGTAAACCCAGGGGAGAGGACGACGGGGCGGAGGGGGATGCTCGGGCCGCGAGCAGAGCCGCGGTGGCGGCGCTCGGCACGCAGCGAGCGCCGGGCGGCGGGCCCCTCTGCCGGGCCGGGATGCGGGGCGCGGGCGGGCGCCACGTCCCAGGGCATCCTCGGCGGCTGCGACGCGGGGCGTGGGGACCGCGGTCCTGCAGCCGCCCGGCCGCCGCCTCTCCCCCTCTCCCGGGCTCCGCCCGGCCGCGCCGCCCTGCCGCCCCGCAGCCCCCAGAGACGCCGCTTACCTGCACCCGGGCGTGCGGGAGGCGGGGGGCAGTCGCCGGGGCCGGGGCCACGTCGCCGCCCGAGGGCGCGGACGCTCGGACGCCCCCTGCCCGAGCCGTGGGGCCACCGCCCGGCCGCTGCCCGGCCCACGCCGAGGGAGCCCGAGCCGGGGCCGCGCCGGTGCCTCCGCGGGTGCCGACGCCGCGCCGCGCCGCGCTCCGCGGGGCCGCTGGAACCACAGTTCCCACAATGCCGCGCGCGGCGGGCGGGCCCGGGGAGGGGGCGGGGCCATTGACCCCCGGCGCCCACTGCGCGCCGCCCCCCGAGCGGCTTCGGTCCCGGCTGCGGCGGCCATGGGCGGCTGGCTCGCAGCGCGCGGGCGGGCGGGCGGACGGGCGGCCCTCTGCAGCGCTCCGTGCACTGATTCCCCCGCCCTCCGTCTCTCCCCCGCTGGCTCGGTCGGGCCCCCTGGCTCCGTCTGTTCCTCTCTGGCTCTCGGGGTCCGTCCCTCCCACCTGCCTCCTTTCATTCTCTTTCACTTTCCCTGCCTCGCCTTTCTTTCCTCCCTCACTTCCTCTCGCTCGGACACCCTTCTCTGCTTTATTGATTCCTTCAGCGTTCCCTTGGAAGGCCTCTCGGGCCCTCGGATTGAGACCACCAAGCCCAGAGGATCCTGAGTCTCAATGGAAACCTGGTCGTTCAGTATCAGCAATTAGTGGGCAACCCCTTTGTGCCTAGCCCAGTGCGCCACGCGGAGCAGTGCAGACACGGGCCCTGCCGCCGGGAGTAACAAGTCTAGCCAGGCGTCGGCAATTCCCGTGTCATCGCAGGTATAAACCTAATAATCACTGTGCTGGGGAGAGCGGTACCAAGAGAAAGTGGGGGGGCAGGATGAGTGTGTCCTGGGATTTGGGGGTGGAGCATAATGAGGGGTGGAGGGCCCTGGGAGGCCTCTCTGAGGTAGGGATGTGTGAGTCAAGGCCTGTGGGAGACACATAAGCCAACAGTGGCCAGGGAATGTTAGGGACTCCAGGGCAATCACGCATGGGCGGGTCTGGCAACACGTGTGGGACCGGGACTGCTGGCCCACAATGCATCTGTTCTGTCTCAGAATCGGTTTTTGCTGCCCCAGAACCCACCATGTTCCTGTCCCAGAGCTCAGAATCCACATGTACTGGGCCCAGAATCTACCTCTACTACCATGTCTTACAATCCATTTCCTCTCTGTCACCTCTCCCTTTTCTCAACTCCCAAGAAGGAAGACTTTTTTCTTTTATTCTACTAAAATAAACCAAAATGCGTACATTGTGAAACCGTAACATGCACTGCCAGTCGTAGAGGGGTGTGAGCCCCAGCAGGGTGGAGATGGTAGGAGGGCATTTGCACCATCTCACCTTCAGAAAGTTGCTCAAATTTCAACTTGTCCAAAGGTACTCAGACATCACACTGACAGCGCTGAAAAAGAAAAACATTGTTCATATAGTTGTAGATGTGTGTTCCATTCCTGGACCACACCGTCTGTAGTACATTATGAATTAATACTTTCTTTACATCCAGTAATTATCTTTGCCCAGTGCATGGTAAGAATATTTATTTGTTCATTTGGCAGTATTACCATACACAACATTTTTGCTGACCCTGTTTGCCATTTCTTCTGGGCGACAGTGGGAGGTGAGTTCCCCCAGAGAAGGGTATCTACGCTTTCCACACGGAGCTTGGTGCATGAGGGCTACAAATAAATTGTTGCTGTGCTGATGATGGACGAGTCAAGGGCCAAGTGCATCTAAATTGCCTGCCTTCACCTGGCTGCCACCCCCGTCCTCCAATGTCTGTCTTCTCTAGGGCAGTCATTCCCAGCCCACTCTGAGGCTGCACAACCTATCATTACGGCATCTCATACACTCGGGGGGGTGGGGGGGGCACCCAACTCCTTCCTCCTGCAGATGGAGTCACTGGGGGACGAAGAGAAAAAACATGCCTTGCGCGATCAAGGTCACGGCAAGTCAGGAGGGGAATGTATAGACCCTCAAGAAAACACTTGATGGGTGCATTCAAGAAACCAGTACAGTCACTTTAGAAAGCAATTTGGTAGTGTTTTAACAACAACAAAAACAAGTGTGTAATACCCTAGGAAACAGTAATTTTACTAGTTTATATCTTCCCTAGAGAAATTCTAGGGAAAGGAATACTGATGTAAGCAGAATTACACTTGCAGTATGATTTCATCTTCCTAACACATCCACACAACACAACGTTATTCTATGTTTCCTGTGGTATATACGTATATTTATATAAAAGCAGGAGAAAAGCAGAATACACTATTCTGTTCTCTTAAAAGCTTAAAATATTACAGTATTTGTAGATGCAAAGAATATCCCTCAGAGGAAGCACACCAAATTCATGAGTTGTAATTTCAGGGGAGGTCAAGAAGAAATGAGAATTGGGCACAGAGAACTCCAGTGTTTTCTGTATGTTTTAATTTGATTTAATTGTTTCAAAAGGATTTTAATGCTTCTGGAACAAAATCTAAAGAGGACAGATGAGTTACTAGGAATACCTCTCTCCCCCATCCTTCAACTACCTGGTTCCCTTTCCTGGAGACAATCATTATAACCAATTTTTTAATCATCATTTCAGGAAAATGCGATGTATTTGCAGATGTACGGAGGTATCTTAACTTTTAAGAAGGAAATATTAGTATGTTATTAGTGATATTAAAATAGATTTAAAAAATAAATTTGAAAGTTACATTGAAGACTTTTTCAAGAATAAGGAATTGTTCAACACAAAAAAAATCTTGATAGAATTCATCATATTAAAAAATTTAAGGAAAAGGATTACAAAATGTCTCAATAAATACAGAAAAAACATTTGACAAAATTCAATAGCCCTTCATGCTTAAAAACTCCCAGCAAAGTAGGAATAGAAGGTATATGTAGCCTGATAAACAGCATTTATAAAAACCTACAACTAATATCAGAAGTTGAATGCTTTGCCTGAAAGATTGGTACCAAGAGAAAAGATTTTCACTCTCACTACTGTTACCCAACATTGTACTGGACGTTCTCACTAGTGTAATAAGGCAAGAATAGAAAATAAGAGGGATTTGGAAGAGTAATAGAAAAAAAACTGTAATAGCCACAAAGCTGTGAAGAACTCAAGAATGAATTTCACTAAAGTGGGGAAAATGAAAAAAAGTGAAATAAAAATATTGAAGGGCACGGAATAAATTGTGAATAATGACAATGTATGCAAAGTTCATGAATATGAAGAGACAACATCATAAAGGTGTAAGTTTTGCCAAATTATCCATAAAATTTAAATCAACTTTTATGAGAATCTCAATGTTTTTAGTGCAAACGAGGTAAAATATCATAAAACTTATATAAAAAAGAAGAGGGAAGAAAGCTAAAGTAAAAATGAAACGAATAAGAAATGAGCAAAGGATAGGAGCAGGCAATTCACCAAAGAGGAAACACAAGTGGTTGATGAACACGTGGGAAGGTTCTGTGCCACACTGCTCATCAAGGATTAAAGCCATGACGTGATGCCATTTTGCATTCATCATGTTGGCAAAAGTTAAAAAGCCAGTTGATGCCAAGTGTGTGCTGGTGAGACTGTGGAGCGACAGTTGTTTCACACTCCAATCTGTAGTTTACTTTTCCAGCAGATGAGTGTGTGTAGCATATTATTGATATTAAGTGTGAATGCATGCAAACAATATGGTATACTGTTCAGGGAATGTGTCTAATATATATGTACTATTATATACATTCATGCATTTATATATATATACATTCAGGCAAAAATGTATATATTAATATGTACTAATATAAATAGCAAAACTCTTGCCTAGGGATGATTAATACAGATTCATGACAGTATATGAATATGGAGGGAGGAGGAGAGGGAAATGGGATCAGGGAGGGACACACTGGGAGGCTTCACGGTATGTGTAATACTTTATTCCTTTACAAAAACGAAAGCAATTAAGCAAAAGATTAAGATTTGAAAAAAGGTGAGTGGTGGGTAGATAAATGTTCGTCCTATTATTTTCTAAGAATGTTTGAAATATTATAGAATTATAAATTGTAAAAAGGCAATTTGATTCGGTAAAATGAACTTTGATTTTGCAAGTTTGGATGGCAAGTTTCCCATGACTTGAGCTATGTGGAGATACTGAGCAACAGCTCTTTCAACTGTGTCCCAGCTTTGAGTTTCCTAATAGCCCTGTAGGGGCAACAAGAGAAAGAGGGAGAAGGGAGTGGGGGTCTGGGGGGCAAGCACATGCTCAGCAGTCATCAGCTGCTTCCCTCTGAGCAGCTTGGCCTTTAGTAGCTTTCTATATTGACCTTCTGTATTTGGTGGGTAAAGGATCCTCAGGCAAAAAATACATTTGTAAACTCCTGTCCCAGGCTACCTACCGCACATTACAGTTGGGAAGCTTTGCTCTGGAAAATATCAGGATAAACCCAAGTCAGAAGTTCTAGGGGAGTAAGTTTGGCTATCTTTCCACATGGAATTAGCACACTGAATGATACTTTGGTTGGTTAGCATATGCAGGTGAGTAATTCTGTCTGTCCAGAAAGGAGAACCACACTCACCTGTTATCAGGTGCTAAATGAGTTCCAAGAACAAATCTAAATCACCTTGAGCTGATCCGATAAAGTGCTGCTAACATCTATTTAGCACCTGAACAGACAGTGAACTTGCTGCTTACAGTGCAAATCGGTGGAACCAGACATGGGTCTGTGCTTGTGGAGCCCAGTGAGAGCTTGTGCCATGTTGGAGTGAGTCAGAACATCTCCCCAAAGCCACCACCTGTCCCTGCCACTGCCTGTCCCTGGGTCAACCTGTGCTTGATCTGGCTCATTACCTTAACCTGGACCACTTCTGTCATTCCACGTTCTCTAGAAGCTTTGCAGTGGCTTTGACCAGGGCCCGGAAGGTGGGTATGAGAACCTGTAAGTCTCTGGATGGGCAAAGAGACATGAGAAGCATGGCCAGGTTCATAAGATCTTTAAGAGAATTGGCCCTCTACAAAACCTGGAATGGAGTTGAACCCTTAAATGACCCAGATGGTGTTTTGACAACACACTTAATTCCCCGCTTCCCAGAGCCTGTCTTGGAAATAACAGACCGTGACCATGATAAATTCCCATTTATGCACCCAGTGGGGTTGACAGGAAAATTCTTTAAGAACCAGTTGTGGATAAAATGAGAGTTCCTGTGGCCAGGATTCTCACCTGGCCCTGGTTGACTAGCTCACTGCACACCTGTGGGCAATACATGGCTGTTGACTCTATAAAAAGAGCTCTGCCCAGTGCTCTGGGCATGACACAGTGGCAGGGCTGCAAGGCTGCAGGAGGGCAGAGCAGAGGCTGGAGTGGTGGCAGCACCAAGGACAGAGGCCCAGAGGACGGCTGTGTGGGATGACTATGCCGAGGCCCAGAGGATGGCTGTGCGGGATGGCTGTGCAGACAGAGGGGCCCAGAGGCAGAGACCAGCTTGCTGCATGCAGACTTGCTCTGAGTGAACGGGACTTTAGTGACTGACCTGCCACCTGGAAATAAAGTTGGGTATAACCCTTTCACCCCAAGAACGTTTGCTGTCATTTTCTTTGGTCACACTGAATCCATAGTAAACTTGCCGGGGGCTGAAACTCATTGGCAAGACAGCAGTTCACCATAGTACCAGCCCATCAGAGTGGATGCAGGACTGTAAAAAACAGGCTAGGCCATATCAGGGCATACTGACCTACATCAGCCCCAGACCAAGTGGTACAGAAATGTAATCATGAAATTTCAAAGATGCCGTGTCTGAGCCCAGGAGCAGATGTCTTATAGCTCCCAGTTAGAATGGAGACTTCCGTTCTGAGCGTGCTTTGTCCACATTCCCAACAAAGGGAAATTGTACTGCTTATCAGCTACTTCTAAACTCTAGGAAGTCAACTGGGAAGAGTCTTAATTCATTCAATACAAATTGTTGCACAAAACCATGTGCTATGCCCACCAAATAGACAGCACTGGTGGAGGACCGGCAGCCTTCTGTGTTAAATCCAGCACAAACGTATGTTCACTGTGGCCCGTGCAGGGCTTTTAAATTTTTTTCAGTATTTAAAAATTAGGAGACACTGCAGAAAAATCTGGATTTCTGGCTTCTCTTGAAAAATGGCAGCCTCTGGCCACAATGGGGCCAGACTTGTGCAAACATGCCAAGTTGGCAAGTGGGCCGTCCTCTGCGGTCTCCGCCCGCGGG